GTTGTTGCTGTTGCTGTTGTTGTTGTGGTTGAAGTTGTTGTTATTCTTGGTGTGTAGGTGCTTGGAGTTTTGAGCATTGGCAGAATTATTAAAAAGTAAGACCAGACAAGAGACGGCCGTCGGTCGTCGGCCGCTGGCTGTTCTGTGGACGTTGCAGGTTTGATATATTGCAGGCATCCGGTAAACGTGGAAGGCCGACATGATGCTGCAATAAATGGCTCTCCGTTTTCCCATCGTCGTCTGTCATTGTTGTTGTTACTGTTGTTGTTGTTGTCACATTGTCGCCGCCGTAACCGCTGCTGCTGCTGCTGCTCATGATGTTGATGATGTTGATGGGACATTTGGGGGCCTACACAAAACTTCAATAAAACTTGTAGACGTAGTCATCAGTTGTTGTAGTTTAAATATTTGAGCCGCACAAACAAAACAGTTAGATACGCTCCAAGCAACAGCAACAGCAACAGCAACAACAACACAAGTAACAACTGCAACAACAAAGTCGTGCTGCCCACCTCTTGGTCGCCCCCGTGAAAGCGTGGAAAGCGCGCAAAGTCCAGACTTGCGGGCAAATGGACAAGCGAACAAGAGTGCGCTCCTCTGATTTGATTTGAAATGTGTTGTCGTTGTCGTTTTAATTAAATATTTTCAATTTTATAGGCTTGTTTGATTTGCATTTTAATTCGTTGCTGCTCCGAGCCCAACCGTCCGCCTCCCCTCCCCAGACTCCCATCGCCAGCCATAGAAAATGTTTCTATTTATTTGTTGATTTGTTGCTGTTGCTGCCGTAAAGCAGAAGAAGTTGACAAAGTAGCAGCCAAGCCACTGCCCTGGACCGTGAGACACCAACACCTGGCTGATGGTGGTCCACTCTGATGGCTGAAGCTGCGGTGCTCGCTTTGCATTTTCATTTCCATTTCCATTTTCCACAGCTTTTGTCGTTGATTCGTTTCTTCGTGTATTCTGTGCGGTTCATTAGTTAGGATTACTGCACAATTATGTCGCATTTTGTAGCCGCTAATAGTTGTTTATTTATACAATTAGAAAACAAAAATTGAAAGCTCACATAAATTGTATGGAATAGATGGTTCTAGTCTAAAGAATGGAACAGACGGCGGATTAGTGGCATATTTCTTCTGCAGCAGTATGGTCAGTGAAAGTTCTTGGTCTGTTGCTAATGATGCAAAGGCTATGTATATTTCGCCCAGAAGTAGGCATGCCAGACCCGATGTTATCGGTATATATGTAAGGATATATATAAGGAGCACGAGACGAGAGGAATCAACTAAGACTCTCAAATTGATCGCTAATCGCTGCATTTATAGTACATAGTTCATGGGATTCGTCCTTTTGCAATTATCATATAACAAAAATGGCGGATCGGACTATTATATCATATATTGTTCTGCAGCTATGTCGACCAAATTTATTTCATGGTGGTTTTATCAATATGTGTTAAACTCTAATATATTAATAGTATAAAGTACTTGATTATGCCATGTACCCAAAGGGTCAAGTCTCCTTGATCAATACGACGAGTTGAAGGGTCGGTCGCGGAAATTACTATATAATAGATAGAATCACAAAACTTGAAATTCAACTTCTAAGCTCTTGACAAAACAGATTTATGTTTTTTTATGATAGAGAGAGTATCTTTCTTCCGCTACTAGAAGTTTTCCATGATTCTAATAGTTTTGCCCAATGGAAAGCGCACCTTTCTGCATCCCCATGTCAAATTTTATTCAAATTGTTAAAAATTTGAATGCCAGTAGCTATTGTGGAACTTGCTGCTTCAGTTGTACAAATAGCAAGAAAAAAGCCCGATAAAAATTCATTTTTGTGTGCTTACAAAGACATCGGAAAAAATGTTACTATCGAGCTGAGTCTTACTTATACAGGTATGTGCATCTGTAATAAAATAGGGACTATACTAAATGTTTATACGTTATTTACTAGCGGAGAACCCATAAGCACGACGCTTAAATACTTCATCGATTCGAAACTTAGGTATACTTCGTTTCACAAACTAGAGCATATACGGTGGAAACTGTCTTGGCCGGACACTCACTTTTGTCCGCTATTTGAGGTGTCCAGATAAAAGAGGTGTCCTTTAAGAGAGTTTTCACTGTTTATGAACGTATATATGCTGCCAATACAGATTGTCCATTTTTTTCTGCCTATTTGGCTAATTTGAATATTTTCTAGTGCTTTCTAGTGTTCAGATACCACAGCTAACAAGGAATTAACTTTTCGCAACCCTCAACACAATTTATACCATTAAAGCCCAGCAAAGTACAGGATTGGAAAAAAGGCTTGGACATATGTAGATGACAGAATAAAATCGTTCAACCTAAAAAAATGATAAATAGAAAAAACCTAACGAAATTACAATAATATTTTATAAGGCCTAGGGCTCGCAAAGTGGCTAGCTAGAAAACTCTGGTATAGAATTTATTGCATTGTTGGGACCAGGTTCGAATAAATCCAAGAACATTTTATGACTGCTTTACGATAGTGAAAAAGTAATAGGACGTAAGCACTTAAAAACTTGGCTTTAGAATCGCTTAAAAAAACCATCCTTGTTCAGAATTGCTTAATTCTTGACTATCATTTACTGTCCATTTCCTTCAAGAACACCAAAAAGCACATAATAGAGTTAATGTTTATTGCAATTCGAGTTATCGCATCTTTAACTAACTGAGCTATCAATATCAGATTCCATAGCTCCTATAGATCTCTTATTATGGCCAGTCAGTCACTCACTCACGTGCTCATTCAAGACTTTCACTCACACATTTGACGTGCCTTTACGAGAAAAGTGAGGCTGCCGCTGACTCTGACCCAGCTATTGAACTAACAAACGCTTAACCTTAATACCCCAAGCACTTCGCACCCAAGCAGCAGCAGCAGCAACAACAGCAACACAGCACCAGCGTAATCAACACTTTTATGTGATCCAAATCCAATTCACAACAACTAATTACAAGCGCCGATAGCCACGTAATTAACGCGGCATTAAAAGGAGCGTTGAACGATACGATTCGATTGAGTTCGATTTCCAGTGCATTTCATACGGTTTTATTTACTATACAAGTATATGTACATACCTAATACATATGTATGCATATGGATGGATGTATGGATGTGTTCTGGCTAGATTTTTACAGCTGTTTTCTACTGTTTATACAAAATCAAACCAAATCGAAAGTATTACACTTAGACAAATAGAGACGTAAGTAAACAGACAGACAGACAAACTGATTGTGGCCATTGATAAGTACGTATGTACATATGTATGTATGTTAGTTCCAACAGCAGCCAAGTGGTTTTCCGGTGTCGAAGACACTAAATTCAAGACAACAACCACTAGAACAACGTGCTGGAAATTAAAGCAAAGTACCCGCGGGCAATGCACTGAGCAGGTCAGACAGCTAATGCTAATGCTGTATAGTGCATATGTATGTATGTATGTATGTATGTATGTATGTATGTATGTACGTACGTACAGTCGAGCTTCCTTAAGTACAACCCGACTTATTGAGGATTAAGGGAACAACAGCAGATTTATACGACAGTTCCAAATCTTTCTTGAACCAACTGCTTTATTTTTTAAAGACAATTGGACCAAACATATATAAAAAGGCGAAACTAAATAATAGTTTAATAATAGTAGTATTTAAGCACGGTTTACATTTTTAAAACAAAACAGAGACCAAATAAGTATGTGGCAATAAAAGGTCGGAGACTTGAAATAGCTGCGACTTATCGAGGTCCGATTTTAAATAAACATCATGACGTGCCTAATGTACACATATGTGTGTACTCGTACAAGTATGTACATTTATGTGCGGCCCTTCATTTCTCTTTCGAGCGCATTTTTTACAGCACCGATTAGTGCAAGTCAAGACAATGAAAATTTGTCACTCGAAAACAAAACTATTTGAATTTGGACGAGGACAAATGAGACATAAAAATCTCAAGTGTTTGTGTGGGAGTGCGTGTGCCACTTGTGCCAATGTATTGGAAATAACGGCCAAATCAACAAAACAATCGTCGTCATCGACATCAACATCGTCGCCGCCGTCGTCGTCGTCATCGTATTCCTTGTCGGCACACACTCAATGATTGTTATTAGTTTGTACATTGCTTTGGAGCATATCTAATTTGCCATTGATGTGTGCATTAAGTTTGTATTGGAAAGCAACGAACATATCAACTACAATGAGCACGAGGACAACTGGCGGAGGCAGGCATACAAATTGTCGTAAAACATTAGTGTCCCCCGAGATTAGACGACGACAACGGGGACGGCAGTGGCGGCGGCAGCGAGAAAAAGGCTGGCTCATCGCCCTTTTATTTGGCACTGGCAATATTTATTGCGAATTCATTTTAATGTAAGGAAAACTAAACATAGACAGCTCAGACAGACAAGCAGGAAGCTAGCAAGCTGACAGAGCAGACAGAAGCTCGCTTACACACACACTCGTGCACAGAGTTAGACAGGCGGTTCGACTGGCTGGTGGTAGGTAGGAGAAATAGCAAAATACGCCATCAAAATAAATAAAAACAACACCCATACAGACACACACACGCACACACACGCACATGCCCAGCAAGCGACACGACGCAAAAGCTAGCACAGCATTCGGCGCTATGGAACGAGTAAGGGAGATAGAGCGATGTTGGCTAAAAGGAAGCGATGGCGATAGGTGATAGGCGACGACCCGGCCCCAGACCACCCAACGGCAACGAGAAATGAAATCCTTTGTGTATTTGTTACTGTGCGTTTGTTTGTCAACTAGCCAAACAGCGATATAAAAATGCTAATACAAAACTACAAATTGTGCAAGTAGCTGTTATTGTTCCTTTGCTGTTGTTTCTGGTGCTAAGCACAACACTCAGCCACTCAGCAGCCACTCACACACACACACACAAACTCACACTTCGAAATATGAATAAATACACTCACACATTTAGAGAGTGTCGAAAAAATGGCCACTTACCGTTTTAGTCAATGCTCAATAGTCTGTTGGTTGGTTATGTATACGCAGGCACAGCCAGAAGTGCCGCTAATCCAAAAGTTTTGGTTGCACTAAATGTTTTACACACAGGCACACCAAACACACAATTACACTTGAATAAATGCACTTGCAACTTTGTGCTGGAATTTAAATTTTTATTATTTGTATTGCGCTTTTATATTTCGATTTATTTCCCCGCTGCTACTTCACTTCGTTGCGCAGAGGCCGATACAACGAAATTCCTGAATTTGAAGTGGAAATCTTGTTTGAGCACTTTTTGATGCCAAATGACGACGGCAACACAGCGACGACAACGGTGGAGCGGCGTTGGCGGCACACAATTCCACTTAGTCGAAGAAAAATACATACAAACAACTAAAAGTCGATGCCAATTTAGTTAGAGTGTTTAGTTAAATAACTTTGAAACGCGCGCGCTTATATTATATGCATTAATGTACAAGTTTTCATACAACAAGCAAGTTTTTCCTTTGAAAATTTTATACTGTTTTTTTTTCGACGCACGACGCGTAACACAAGCGACATCAACAATGCGACCACCGTAACTACTTTGTCGTTTGCTCAAAGAGCACTAAAAGGTACAATTTTATGCGCTCATAGTAGTGGTGTGCCAAGATAGCAATCGACTGCAACAATCATCGAAAAATTTATCGAGTATTTGCTATCAAACGTGCTGCAGCAGGTAGGGATGGAATGTGTATGGAAAACATAGTTATCACAACACGAATTCGATTGTTTCGACTAACAAAACAATAATTTATATTTGTGTATACATATAACATAACGATATCATGATTATTTATTACTTCTACTTGATCAAAATATGTGCTTATATCCCATTTAAATGCCGATAACAGAGGCGGAAAAATCTCATCTCTAGCAAGTATCTATTCACAATAGTTGGTACTCTTAGAATGGTGCTATTTAAAAATAATGTAAAAGCAGTTATACGCAATCAAGTTTTTTATTTGCTTTATTTATTAAATGAATTCTGTATTTTTAGATGTTGTCAGGCAACTATATTCAAGAAGTTATCGGGTTTTCGTGGTAGTTGGTAGAGCTCCGTGAGCAATTGGGCGCGCATACGTGAGAATTTAAAAATACGACGGATTAACCGTAAATGGTGATCCTAAACACATACATAGAAACAAAGTTAAAAAGTGAAATATGCAGGGTATACATAAAAAAATAGGAATATAGGAAAATATAAAATTGTAGGCGAATCACTGTTATACGCTTGCTTTCTGCAAAGATGTATGTATGTATTTATATTTGAATTATGAAACATTGAACGCCCCCCTCAATAATATGCATCCTGTTTTTACCACGCACTTCCGTTCAAATTTCGACTGGTCACGTTTAATAATCGGCTTAAATTTCTTTTGTCCCGTAGGGGCTCTGGATCTAAAGAAAACTAAATACGCGCGCCGCTTCATCGAAGCACGTACCGCCTGTAGGCTTTTGTGTGATACGACATTTAAGGGCAACAACTACGTAAGCTGGAAAAATGTAAAAGGAGGGTAATGAAGTCCAGAGCACGGAGTGTTGTCAATTACTAATTAGTGTTTATTAATTTTAAATCAATACAAGTATAACTACAAATAATATTCGTATTAGTACAATTAACGCTAATCAAGTCTAAGAGGAGCAAGCAGATATGTCGTCGCATAAAAGTTAGGTGATGCATTAGTCATTAAATCACAGATGTATTATTATTTTGCCTGCATTCCAACTCCACACCCGGAGTCTGATCGGGCGGTTCAGCATTTAACACGAGGTTCTCAATGGAACGAAATGAAGCATCCTCCAGATGTGTGCTCATGGGGGGCTGTCGTGGCAGCGTCGTCGCTACTCCAACGTGGCGTGGCTGTCGACCCCGCACAGACGAACGCAAAATAGTGACCACATCCTCGGCCGTGTAGGGGCGTTGTAAGCCTCCTGGCTCCAAAGCTGCATTCGCAGACGCAGGTCTTTGTGTAGATGCCGGGGAAACAGTTGGCACCTTACGACCCAGTGATAATGTGCGCTGTGTGTAGACACTAGGGCGCTGGCCAATCTCAATGGACTCAGGACTGCTGGATGACTGGGTCCTGCTCGATCCGGAAGGATTGGTAAGAATGGTTAGGTAATCAGGTGGTGCATTTGTTGCGGCAGGCGTAGGCGACTCTGCATCGATGGAGAGTATAGGACGTGTACGGCTTGTGGAGTCCCCAAGCACCCTGCAGATTAAAGATCCATTAAGAATTTTTCAATGAGGGCACTCATTGTTATTTCTCACCTGCGCACGCTGCGACGAATGCTTTGTCGCAGCATCTTTGCCAAGCGTGCGCCTGTTGCTGTGGTATAGGAAGGTGGAGGAGTGTACTTCGGCGGAGCGTCGTGCTGTGCATCCCTTTCCCCACTGTTTTGCTCTAAGGCTGCACCATTTCGATGAATCCGTGAATCACGCTGGCGAGCAGAGGATCGACGCGTTTCGCCCGAGTCTTCCGGAGGCCTATACAGAAGTTGTATACGCTGCAATAAAAACACACAATTATTATATGATTTACTAGTTCCGTTCAAGCACTCACCTCCAATATGTCGGGAGGTCCGCGAGTCAAGTAACGATAGATCTGCACTATGGCTGTTACTGGTATGACCAATAGTAGACCAATCTGAATAAGACTGCCCATTTTGCGCATCAAGTAGCTAAAGTATGACTTGCCCCGCCAATAGTAGAACTGATTGGACAGAGAGGCTTTGTAGTCTATTACGGATAAAGTAACCAGTCCGATGGGCAGCAAAACATTCCAGGAGAGTGCAAGGAAGGCGGACATGGAGCCACACATGCGCAAATCATTGACCAAATCATCGCCATTGTATGGTCGTCCGCGTATCAGAAAAACGCCAAAGATTTGCGCCGTCCAAATGATGGGTATAAACCACGAACCGCCCAATAAATAATCCACGTAGTACAAGATCGATATACCCATCTCAGTGGCAAATGGAATGCTCAAGAGCAGGCCTGTTACACAGCTGAGTAGTACGGAGCTCGTTGAATTGCCTAGTGCACTCGAAATGGGTTTCCACATGACACACAACTGGGCCAATCCAAACAAAGCAAACAATCCAAAGGCCACAGCAGCCCAGACCCAAGAGATGGCATCGCTGGATAGCGATAGTACGGCCGGAAATAGTTCTGTAATAAAACGCAATGCTTGGAAACCGCTTTCCCGATGAAGCACAGCCGTAGGTCGACGATACGTCTCACCAATAAATGAGGAGTAGTGCGGGACAAGAGCCGGCGGGTGCGATATTATCTCCGGATTGGGGTGCGCTTTCAGCGAGTATATAGACGTAGAGCTGTCCGGCGTTTCTGTGAGTCATAGGCACACCATTGATAATACGTTCAAATGTTTTTATATAAGTACGAATCTTACCAAAAGAGCCAGGAACATAGACGTAGTTATGCTGCCTTAGAATCTGCGCACAGCACAAGGCCAAAAGGGCAGTTAGACTCAGGGCAAGCATAGTGACCAATACCAAGAGGATAGCATCTCGTCGCAGTGACGATTTGTTGGCCGCCATATGCGAACGACTGGTTATTGCTATTACCGACGCACCCAGCAGGCCCCATGTAAGAAAAGTCTCCTGGGTTGCCGCTGTCCACGTCTTGGAGTTGATGAGGAAATCATCAAAATCTGTCGCGGAAAATATGTTCTAAAACGAGAAAATATATTGAAAGCATTATGGGCAAGTGCAGAAAAATAAGATGAATTACATGAATGCACCAAGTAATGAACAATTAACACGGAATGATACCATAAGAGTCGAAGAGGAAGCCATTATTTGAAGTAGCCCTTTAAGACCGGCCAATTTAAATGCATTTTTCTACGAACTTCTTGAAGCCATAGAGTCTGGCTATTATTATAATCCCCCTATATATATTATTGGCGTTTGTAACTTTCAACAAGAAAGGAATGCTAAAGTCGAGCGAGCTCAACTCTTAAATACCCTGTAGCTCCCACCCAAAAGGAAAAAATTTTAAAAAACAATTAATATTTAAATTTAATTAATTTCATTATTTAATTAAATTAAAAACAAATTATTCAATACATATATACAAAAGTGCAGACATGTACAGTTTCAATAGCATACATTTACATGAGAATCGTGAATCAGCCAGAACAAAAGCTTCGGGCAGCGATGCGGGCAAAGCTGCAGGCAGAGCATGGGCAGCGATCTTATTTATGGCTATTACTTTCTTCAGAATTGACCTATCATGATGAAACTTTGAAAACGGATACATAATACATACAAACTAGATGTACATACAAATGCTAAATTTGAGTAAAAAATTCAAAGAATTACGGGAGTTATGAAAAACACAATTGCGGGGGAATGGGGGGGTGTATCAGAATAAAACAAACAAACTTGACCTGCCTAGGGCTCAGGGGAACCTGGATACCAAGTTTGGTCATTCTAGCTCTTGAACCTTCTGAGATCCTTGCGCTCATACAGACGGACGTGGCTATATCGACTCGGCTTGTCACCCTGATCAACAATTTATATACTTTGAGCGGTCTGTCACGCCTCCTTCTCCCTGCTACATACATTCGCACAAAACTAGTATACCCTTTCATAGGGATTCCCAGGGTATACAAAGTGAGTATTGACGAAATTCTTCGCCATGCTGATTTCTTTATGGAGTCGGAGATGCCTCCTTCTACATGTCACATACTTTGCACAAACCTGATATACCGTGTTTACGCTAGGGGTACAGGGTATAAATAGAGTTATGTTTGGGAGGATCGATCCAATAAAAGATATATAAAATAGTGAGGCTATTTAAAATATGGTTTGTTATAAATTTGCTCTGTACGTATGGATAAGAAAAGTCTACATAAGTACTAAGAATATACTTATATACTTTTAAGGGTGTGGAACGCCTCCTTCTGGTTGTTATATACACGTATATTGGTATATTCTCTAGGTATACCTTTAAACCCGAATACCGACTGAATTTGGGTCCCTTTTATTCACAATTGGATTTTTTGTACGAACTTATAGCCAAGCCGTATGAGCATAACTCCCCTTCGTTTCTGGACAAATGCTGGTTATTAAGTTAAAAGCATACAAATACATTTAGAATGAGTAGGTTATATTTCTCTTCTTTTTTTGATACCGCTTTGGCTTTATTAAATTTAGTGGCAACAATGCCTCCAATACTAATAGAACTAAAAGAACTTTTGCGCCATTGTTTGGCTTTTGGAATATTGTTTTGTTTAATACCGATATGTTTGATTAATCTTTATATCTACGCGATACATTCTAGTAAGCAAAATTCAGCTTTTATTTCTTCGCTAAATTTTAAATATATGTTATTCGTGTATATACGTATATTCATATTCATATTAGGAATACAATATTCAGGGGCATTTCTTGACATTATCTTAATGCTACTTGTTATTTATGGAATTACTGGAAACATGTTGTTTTGTACTCAGTTAAAGGTAATTTAAAGTTGTAGACCATGGCCTTTCACTACTCACACTTACTATAAATGCATTTCTTGCAGGCCCGTCGAATATTTCTATATTGGATGCTAATAACAGCACCATTTATTAATGCCAATGTCTACATTTTAGTCCGGAGTTCTGAAAAGAATATTGAATCTGAAACTGTTGCGTATTTTGGTAAGTGATGCACAAAACCAGTGGTCAGTCGCTTCGATCCGATTTTATATTGAGTCTTTTAGGTTATGTGTATCTTAGCTGGATTGTGAATCTTGTGCATTACGGACAATTACATATAGCAGCACAAAGAATCAGCGCGTCTCAATCAGATCATTTCTGAAATCTTTATTTTCGTATATTAAGTCAGATATTATTTATTTTACATAAATCCACTCGAACCATTTATTTCTTGGTATAAAATTATTGAATACAATTTGATTTAAGTCCAGCATGATAACGCACAATCTGTAGAGTAGCACATTATAGCACTTCTGAGCACTTCTATTGCGCTTTACGTACATTGGAGAACCCAGGTTTCGTTTGCGATTCATAACACATGACTCCGGAGGACACAGAAGTCCGGCAATTCATTGAAATGTTTAATTACTACACCTATAATTTGCAACTAACCGCATAATATATTTATTTTAACAAAGAAATTAAAAATAAAATACAGCGTATTGCACTGTTGGGCCTGATCGACTGTAGCGTTCTCTGGTTTTAAAGTTTTTTGTTGTTGTACCAAACACTTTGCCATAAGAGCTCAGTAGCATAATAACTTTTCGAAAATGGTAATGAAAATATGCTCTTCGAATATACAAACGTGAACTTATATGGCCTATATTTCGCCATCACAATAACGCAGATCTTTAAACTCTTTTATTTGATTAAATTTGAACATTTATCTTTAGTATGTATTACAAGTAAAGAAAAACTGTTTGGTAACTTTTAATTTTATGTATACCTTATACCCATGTCCGGAAATATTCTTTTTCTTTTCTTTGTTAAAATTAATATATTATGAGCCGGGCTTGCTCGACTGTAGCACATTATCTTGTTTAATATTGGTAACCTAAAATTACTGATAACATGCTAGACACGTTTTATTTGTACTCATACGTTGTTTTCTATCTTCCAATATTTACGGCTAAATAATATTAACGCGTGAATTATAGCTTTTTCGGTTCTTAATGATTAACCTTAAACAGCAATTGAACCACAACTTAGCTACATCAACATGGAAAACGGGCCATAAAGTATAATATTTAATTACATTTGCTACACAGTGACTATATCTTTAATTCATTAAAATTAACCTATTACGATGATACTTGACATAAGCAAACATAACAGAATATAATTGTCAAATTTATTTAATATATTCAAAGAATTACGGGAGTTTTTTAACAAAACAGAAGCATAATGTAAAACTTTCGACAATGTCAAAAGGAATGTATGCATTCCCTTTTTCCCTTTCCCAATTTTTCCTCTTCCCAATTAAATATACATATTTCTACTTTCATCACTGGTCTTTTACATCATCGAGAAGTTTTTATATTGATCATTTACTAGCAGCACTACTACATTCTTCGACATGTAAAGAAATGCATAAAAAGACTCACCTGAAGCTTGGAAGGGTCTACGACGTAGACAAACTTGGCAGTCACAACAATGAGCGCGAGAAGCGGAAGTGTGTTGATGAGATATGTCCATTTGCCTAGAGATTTCAGTCCTTTACATAATATTAAGAAGACAGCCGCCCAGATAAGGGCCAGATAGAAAGCCAACTGCTAAAAATAATAAATATTACCTTAACAAACTGTAAATCAATAAGCCGTTAATTGGTACTTACCCGATCGTTCACATGGAAACGCACTCCGCTACCATCCCCATGGCGGGCGAACTGCAGCCGCTGGAGCACAACAATGTTAAAATACTCAGCTACGGTGTGCGTAAGATTGCCCGTAGCATTTTCGGCATCATATCGATACGGAAAGGCGAGCTCCTGCCACCGATAAGCGTTACGTGTTGGTGTTGGAAACACATCTCGCAAGTAGACCAGTATCCAGGCCACAGATACCGTTGAATAAATGGCCAGAAAGCATTGCACCATTACCAAGGCAATGCCCACTCCACTGCAAATGGGACTAATCTTCCACATAGATACTGGGCCAGCTTTAATCTTCGCGCCCAAACACATTTGCAGCCAGAGCAATGGAATGCCAAATATTATGGAGAGCATTAGAAATTGTAATAGGAAATTGCCACCATAGTTGATGGTGAGCACGGCAAATCGACAAATGTTGAATACGCCCAGGGTACACCCCATGAGAGCCAACATTCGACTACCGGAATGTGGCCAGAGACTATTGAAACCACATTTCTCGCGCTGCTGCTGCTGTTGATGTAATCGTAGACTGTCCATCGGCTCCAATGGCGACGTGCTGCATGTCGTCGTTTGCTGCAGCTCCACTTGATCCGTTGTAGAGGCTCCTATGGTGCTGCTGTCGGAACTACTGCTTGCCGATGCCATAGATACGGGGCTGGGCATGCGGGAAGAGCGCACGGAGCTTATATCCGAGCACGTAGACATAATGTGCGTAGTTTCGGGCAATGTAGATGCCAGTTCATCCAGTTGCATGCGGGTTTGTGCAGGAGCACTCTGCGGTCGACTAATCACAAGTCCATGGCTAGGATTGGCCAATGCGGTCACACGCGGATGGCCTTCCACGCGGCGTCCAAACTGGCGCGGTCTCTCGCGCTCTTCGCTGGCAGCCCGCGCAGTGCGCTGTTCGTTTAGCAGTAAATTATTATATATGTGGGCTTCGGTTAGCATCTGCATAGCGCGCGACGCAGGCTGGCAATCACCTTGCGAGAAACAGCGCCGCATTTCCGCATCACGCGGAAGATTCACCACCAAAGTGGGCGTCAGGCTAAGCGGTGTTTCAGTAGTTGTTGGTGTTGTTGTAGCTTTGGTCTCAACATGTTCAATACTGGAATCATTCATGGCACGACGCATTGATTGACGACGCCATTCATCCACGGGAGCTATTTCATGTTCCAGTGCGTTGGTGCTGGAGTAAGCTGCAAGGCAAGATACATATTCATATTATAAAGTGAGCCGAAAAGGAGTGGTCAGCTTGTTTCTTACCATTTGTATGCGGTTCCAGTCCACAGCTAAAAGTTTTGCGCATTTGATGTCCACGGTTAAACACTGGACTGGCCGCGACGAGGTTCTCAGCTGTCTGCGTCTTTTGCTGCCTGCGCTTGCGACTCAGAGGTAAAGTGCATGTTCGGGAATCTCTGTTTAATGCCCTGTCGCTATCAATGGCCAATACCTGCTCATTGCTTAGAGCATTGTCCATTTCTTCGAGATAATTATCCAAGTCCAAAAGATAGTCTTCGACCTTGTCGTCATCGCTGCCGCTGATGGACGATACTCCTGTCTCATTAAGCTGGGAAGCTCCATGCACATCCAGTATAGCATCTAGCTCATCTAACACGCTGAGTGCTTCATCCGGTGTACCATCGTATGATACCGGTTGCTTCACCGGCGTGCTCAACGCCGGCTTCTCGCTTTTACAAAAGGCACTATTTTCCACATCCAGTGGCATCTTTAAGCTAATCGGATTTAACATGCAGGCGTGCAACTTCTGCTGTTGGTTATGGAAACTTTGCGGCGTTTGTTGTACCTCAATCAGCTCGTCATCGCTTAGCTCGTCATCGTAGTAGTCGCAGGCTTGCTTTACCGAATCACTGGAAAGGCTGTGCGAAAGACCATAACGTTCCGGCTCAGATTGCCCCTCTTTGCTTTTTGCCGGTACCGTAAGCGCAGGTATAGTTGTTTTTGTGGAATTTCCTGCAGTAATGCCTCGATTTGGCAAACTTGCATATGACTTTGAATTGCGCGAAAAATCCCGACCCAATGTACTTGAGGATTTTTCCTTTTCGTTCATTTTGTTATTACAGTCGCTTACAGTGATTACATTTCCACTACTTTCCTGTTAAAGCTTCTGCTCCTTCGATGTCAGTGGCGTTGTCCTGAAAAATGTCAGTAGTGTGAGTATACATATGTGCGCCTATGTTGTCAACACGGACGCCACATTGAGACAGGTCGTGGCATTTGAAGGCATCAATTAGCCCCTAATCCTATTAAATTAATGCCAAAAGTGCAACGAAATGCAAACAAGCGTCTGCTTTATTATTGTTATTGCACGTGATTGCACAGCCGCCGACGATCAGCAAATAAAACACAGCTGTATGACAAGCCGCAAAATAGTTGAAAACGCTGCCGATGTCGACGTCGGCGTTGCCGTCGCCGTGCATGCTCATTCAACTGATCAGGTGAATGTACTTCCGTTAATAACTTTTTATATACACATGTGCATGGTATAAAATAAACTCATGATACTTATTGTTGCTGAAAGGGAGTGGCGTATGCGTGCGGCTAGTAACGATCGTTGGCATGGCACGTAACCTCGATTAAAGCCAAAGTCTGTTCAGCTGGCCAACAACGTCTTGGCAGCGTCAACAGCAGCTACAAGAGATTCAAGAGCAGGTCTGGTTTTCTAGTTTTTTTTTAAGTTTATGGTACATACATACATACATAAAAACACACGCATACACAAGCAAACGAACACATGTATATGTATGTATGTATATATGTATGTACATAGAAACTGCAAATGTGTGTGTTTTGCATATAACCGTGACCTTCTCGGAGCTTTGTTGTCGTCGTTACTTTATATATCACACTAAATCGAACCTGTTCGCCAAATATACCGCACCACCACGTTTGTGCAACACGCCTCAGCTAATAGAATAAGCAGCAGCTGTATATTAATTGTTGACTCAAGAGGTCAAATTATTTAGCAGTGAAATGCCATAGATCGAAGAATTCGCATGCATATACAATGTTCGTATGTATATACATATGTATGTATGTATGTACACACAAACATTTAATTTGTAATATTCGTACATCGCACTCACACCTATGTATGTATGTACGTACATACACTTCTTTGTATCGTCAAATTTCGCTACTGTTTATGAAAAGGCAAAAATAATGCGAAGCCAAGTAAAAGTAAACAAAACAATTAGTGAGAGAGCTGCTACCACACGAAAATGTCACAGCAACACATATGTACATACATAAATATGTATGTATGTATGTACATTGCCTGACCTTCGTAGCTCTGATGCCTACTCTGAAATTGTAACAGCAGCTGCAACTTGTTTTGATTCTCTTGCAAAAATGGGAAGCCGCTGGCGCAGTTAACAGCAATTGCAATGAAATTGACATTCGCCGAACAAACACAACTAGTTAATCAACGCACGCAGCATACACATACAAACGAGACGATGAAGCGATTAACACACACAAAAACGTGGGACACTCCTCTGCTTGTCACACAGCAACAACAAAAGCTAGCCACCAAATACTAACTAACAAACAATTGAATCTCGCTCCATTGCAGCTTTTTATGATGTAGCAACAACTAGTGAGAGTTTCTTTCGTGACTTTTATTAATGAATGTACATATGTATGTTGTATGGTGTTTAGTGGGAGAACCTGGTACTAACATAATACATACTTCAATTTAATTATGATTATTGCTATTATGATATTAATATCAACAATAAACACACTCATCACTACTGGCAATCAATTGTAGACCTGGAAAAAAAAAGTGGCAACGATGCGCTTTTGCAACGTGCATTAGTCATGCAACAACAGTTACAACAGATTGCCAGTGTATGCACGTTGAATTAAGTTCAATATTCAAATAATGCAGCGGGTCACATAAGACAACGGCAATTAAAAAACCAAATTTGTTAAATTACTTGCGCACAAATATGCAGAAGAAAAACCACCTATGTACACAAATATGCTCCTATCTATGTATATATGTACATATCTACGTAAAATGTGTATAGGTAATACATTGTTGAAAGATTTTACAAACAAATGCAGATACACAAACACGCCCATTCACAGACCAGCAAATCAAAATGTCCATAGAGGGAAGAAAAAAGTAACTGTTCTTATAGCAACCCAAGCACAACAAACAGAAAAATTGCTAAGCTGTCACTTTTCGCGCCGTGTAACTGCGATTGGGGAATACCTTGGGGCGCCTGAAAAAGGTAGGTTGCTGGCGTCAGCTGTTTAGCGTAATTCAAAATGAAGATGGCACCGAAACCACCGGTGGTGGAGAAATGCGCATACCTTTGACACAAATTTCCAAATTAAATGCGAATCACAAACTCAGTAAAAACAAAAAAAGAAAAAACGAACAGTGCGCGAGCGCGTCATGGTTTACGTACTCAGAATGGTCGGGAGAGAGAGCGGGCAACGCTATCTTTGTGTGAATGCCTAAATGTGTATGTGCGCGCGCTACTTTTTGTAAAAGCAGCACAACGCATTTGAAGAAGATACGTATGTATGTATGTATATTGTATCGTTCGGACTAAATAAGACTAGTCTTCAAAAATGAACTGGTGTTGATTTCGCAAGATAAATATAATACTGGTTGAACAATTTAACATCAGAAGCTGTTAAATACTAAATATTATAACAGCTGGGGTTTGTTGGCGGCGCTACTCCCCAACGACTCATCTTTTGCTATTTACAATTTTTTCAATTTCACATATTGTCTCACTTGTATGATAATATAAACAGGCCCTTTACGAAATACATGTACATATGTACATATGTATGTACATGCATATGCATATTAAGCAGATGAACAAACACACGCGTGTTACCGCTCGCTGCTGCTTGCCACACACATATACAAGAGTGTGCTGCAAGTGCAGCGCAGAAAATAAAAGATACAGACATACATATAGATGTATGCTGGTGACTCGGTTACACATTTAGTGGCAGCAGCCAGCATAATTCACACGCAAACAACACACATACATGCATATACGAAATGTATGGCACACTCTAACACACACGCGCACGCGCATTGCTTGTAATAAATTTAGTTGTCTTCTAAATTTATCTACCAACGTACTACAATTCTTGTTGATTTTGTTTTTAGGCCGTTCGCAGATGCATCTATACAAGCGAGTTCCGACCCAACGCTGAAACTACTTTGCGCACGAACAAACTTCAACTAAAATAAAAAAACCAAAACAGTGCCGAACTCGCGTTGCTTGGTAACGCGCTGGTGCTACCAGACTGTCTATATAGCCCTATGTAACCATCGAATAGTGTTGGGTACGAAATGTGCACCTTTGAAGTTCAAGTGTGAACTGCCCGTTATGCCTATATTTCGCTAGAATATCTGCAAATTTTGGCATTTCTATTAGGTCTGCATATAACTTTTCCGTGTTCGTCACATTCGCAGTTTTTTTGTGTGATTTTTATTTTATTGTACCCTGTACACAAAGGGTAAAACGCTATATTAGTTTTGTGCGAATGTATGTAACACACAGAAGGAAGCATATATTATTGATCAGGACGACTAGGCGAGTCGCTTTAGCCATGTCCGTCTGTCCGTATGAAAGCAAGGAATTCAGAAAGTATAAGGGCTAGACCAATCAAACTTGGTTTCCAGATTCTTTTAAGTCCGAGAACGTACGAGTTTGGGTTTTTTTTCGATGCACCCCTTTACTCCCCCATTATTAGTGATTTTCCATAACTCCCGTAATTCTTGGAATTTTGGTAGTCTCATCTAGTTAGTGATTTTGTGTCCGTATGCCAAGTTTCATCATGATAGGTCAATTAGGAAGAATGTTATAGCCATAAATACAATGTCTGCCCAAGCTCTGCCCGCAGTTGTTGCTGTTGCTGCTTTGACATAATTATGTACTGCACGCATATGTATGTACAAGTACACAAACTCTTATGTACTATATGTATGCATGTGATGAATATTTTATATATTATATTATTTATATATATATTATATTATATTATATATATTATTATATAATATTTTTTTTGGGGTGGTGCAGAGTTTTTAAGAGTTAAGCCCGCCCTACTTTAGCATTCCTTTCTTATTTTATTATTAAATATGAGAACCGAAAACAAAAATAATTCGAGCGAAAACTATTTTAAAAATGTAGTTGTGATATAAAAACCAAAAACTAACGCATTTTTAATTAAATAGCCAATAACACATCTTTTTCAGTGGTAACTTACACAAAATAGATTATGGAAACGACGTCAAGGTTAGTGTTTTTGTTATCTAGTGCTTACCTCTGAGCATATCCGACTTTAATTTTGGGGAATATAAAGGCGCAGTTCGAAACATGGGAATGAGATTAAATAAAAGTTTGCGGTCGAAATTGAGTTTTTACACATGAAAATCTATTCGGTAAAGTAATCGGTCATCCGATCTCTATCAACGATCTCTATCTTCTGAAGCATAGTGATAGTATATCGGTTGCTGCCGGAATGCAGTTCCATTTAGACCATGCATTCAACGTCTACACGAAACCGTACTGTGTTTAAAAGTTTAAACATTTAGAGTCCACAAAAATAATGGATCAGATAATGGTAAGGCATTATAAAATAAATAAATAAATAAATAAACACTAAATTTGGTTGCGATATTGTAATAAATAAAAAGGTTGTTGGTCCTATGACAAAAACTTTGATTATGTAATAAAACGATTTTATGAAGCTTCGGAATAAGATGGGCACTATACAAAACGTATAGTTTAAATACTTTATAGCCGAAACCAGAAGAGGATATTATAGAAATGACTGCCCGATTTATCTTTATTTGTTTTTAAAGCTTTCTCGACTAAAATTGATATATGGTGCTTTTATTTTATTACACAGCATGCAACAAAATTGAATTTGTATCAGTTCTGTACAATATTTGAAAATATAACCCTCCGCAGGAGGGATCTGTTTTATTCACATTAATATTTACAAGTATAAGAAAACTAGCGTCCTGCTTTGCACGGGTATTTTTACAAAATTTTTAAAAATTATACATTTTATAGCACACACACACTTAACACACATACATACACCCTTCTTTTTGCTATGAGTTACTAACATTTATTTTAGATATTATTATTTTAATGATTTTTTGTTCGTTTTTAGATTTGTTTGTTATTCCTTATTAGGTCAGAGGTTCTCTGTAAAAGATATTTGATGTTTTATTTTGTGGTAGCAAAAAAATTGATTTTCAGGAGCTCGGACCCGTGATAGTATGTCGATCGCTACTAATTGGAAGGTTTGGCCTTGGAACTACCGGAAATCGAAGCCATATAAATTATCAAATGGGATCATCGGTATCCTCGGTATCCTCGGTATCCTCGTATATGAGCTAGTTGACCAGTTGCTGGGCCGTTGATAATAGTTGCTACACTTAAATTGTCCTGCAATTCCTTAATAATCAGCATCGTCCCATTGCACATGCTTGGAAGGCTCTAATTTCTCAAAAGCACGATTGAAATTCCGAATTTTACCGTCAATTCATGTGGCGGGAGTCCAGAAGGGCTTAATGAATTTAATTGTCTTCAATATTAATCACTGTGTCGATCGATTTGTAATCTTTTATTTGGCTACGGCTTTTGAATGATATTGCCTTAATATTTAAAGTGACAATGTTTCGAGGATGATTATTAACTATTGGCGTTTTAGTAAGGATTCAACTCTTTTTTGCAAATATAATTTAGCCCGTGTTAAACGCCGATAGTGTAGCTTTCCAACAGTGAAAGAATCCATTAAATCGGTCCAGTAGATTCGGAGCCTTTTCAATTCAAACAAACAAACTAACTAACAAAGTCTTCCGAATTTGAAACATTCTATACATATTTGTAGAATAATTATAAAAATGTAACAAATTTTAAAATTTTAAAAATTGTGATCGACTTACCTCCCTTGGTATTCGAAGTCAGGTCAAGGGCGCATGCATTCAGTATAAAGCAGCAACAAAAACCGCTTGGACAGAGATAAAAATTTTGGCCATAACTTTAAAAGCGGCCTATCATACTCACCAACTGAGATTGAGGTGATCATATGAACGGACAGACAGACTGGGCTTGATAGGTTCGTTTTGTCATGCTCATCAGGAATATATGTATATACTTTGTGGGTTCTGTACGTGTTACATTTTTCAGCTCGCGCAAACCTAATATACTCTTGTGCATACATTTCATGTAGAGTGTAAGAATTTTAAAATTCCGGCAAACGTATTTAACGAATATATATTCGATGAACGTAAGGCCATTAAAACAGAGAAATTTTAACATTCACATATATTCGATTTTATTTTTCAAATTGAGATTTGAGTACAGTTGTAACAAAATTAGCAAACAATATATACCTACTATAAAAAACACAATAATACTATTACACCTCACGGTGAGAATGAACAGCAATAACAGAACTGAAGCTGCTTTTTAAAATCCAGAGTAGACAAACAACTAAATTATCTATAGTTCGATTCGATTTAAGAGAGGAATGTGCGCACAAAACCCTTGATGGGTGCTCGGCACATAGGACAGTTGGTCACGCTTGGTGCACACTGATTACAGGTAGCTATCAAAAGGAGGGGAGAAAGAAAAAAAATATATAGGGTCAATACAGCTTGAATCTATATAATACTTGCATACACACCCAAATGACCGCAGGGCAGAAAAACGACGCCCACTTCATCGTCCAGGCAGACCTTACACAGGCGCGCATCCCTTAGCTGCCGATTCTCCTCTTCTAGTGAAATGTTGCCATTAGGAGATCTAGCGCGTGATGTGATAGTAGCTTGGGCGATATCAGGCATTGGACTGGGTGCAGCGGGTAGGCATGGCGTTTCTAAGGGAGCTGTCGGCTCAGTGTCCGTTTTATTGTTTGTTGAGGAACAACACTCCGGTGGCGGCGGTGGCGATGGTGCTGTTGGTTCGGATAATATTGCTTGTGCATCTGCTGTCGCTGGCTCTGTCACCTCCAAAGCTGCACCAGCACCTGCTTCATCAAATATGGCATGAAGTAGCTCGTCTAGCGTTTCATATGCTCGCCCACAGCTGGATAGCTTTCGTTCTATTGTATTACGCACTACTTTGCCGGCAATGCCCAATGCCAAAGCTTCTCGTGCAGGCTCCCTTGACATGAGCTCATCGATGTTGCCGTGTCGGGTCGTAGAACCCGCGCCCGCACCCTCCATGGCTGCATTAGTGGTGGATTCGCGCACCTTCAGTACGTAGGCAATTCCCTTTGAAAGTAACACAAACTGACACTGCGGTGACCATTTTGCATGTTCGTGCCAAGGCTCGTCATCCTTTTGCCACGAGCGGAGCCCAATATTGCAGTGGAAACACCGCACCTGATCGTCAATTCTTTGGTAGTACAGCCCAGCCTGAGCCAACGCCTCTGCGGGTTGTATGTCTTTGATGGGCCAATCGACGAAGGTGCGGAGTCGCGTCTCGAGACAGGCGTATTTTGGTTGTTTGGGCGCTGACGTTGGCTGTACGCCCAGTTCATTTAAATCTTTACTGGCAAATTCGATGAGTGGCCCCATTTGTACACGCGGACAGTTGGGAAAGAAGCGCTGATGCTCATCAAATGCGTTGTCATTTTTTTCCCACTGGGCTACAACGCCATTGCACCAAGCGCACTTCACCTGATCCGCTCGGTTGAGATAGTAGAAGCCCGCCTTGGCCAGTGCTTGCGGTGTGATGTTAGGATTCTGTGAAGTAAATGATTGAGTTAGGAGTATCGCATTACATACTTAAGTTTTTAGTCGTAACGATAATCTTAATATTAGCAACTTATGTGCGCTTACATTAAAATTTAAACGTACACACTAAACTAAGCATTCCCTACTTTAAGCTTCAGTATTAAATTAATAATTTACAAATTTTAATAAACTAATTACATATGTGGTTGTGTAATCCGTTAGTTCAGTATTGTAACCAACATTTAAATGTTATTCCAACCGGAAAGGTGGGAATTAAGTGAAATAGTAAATGGGGTAAAATCAAATCTACCACATTAACCAATATTTTTTGAAAAACACAATCATGCACATATGTATGTATATATATATATAACAATTTATTCTAAGGAATGCACGATTCTATAACTAAGCTTTTTTACATACGGGCCAATTCTTGAATGTCTTCAACCGATTTGCTTCCTGTAATAGATCTGGACACTCGCATTGATCGTCCTGAGATTGCTGAGGCGAATCAACAACGTTGTTGCCCTCATTGTCACTAGGCAGCACCTGGATGAGAGGCACGTTGCCACAATGATGTGGTGCCAGAACCATGGAGCAAACGGGTGAACAACGACGGTGTCGCTCTGAAACTGAATCCCCATATTGCCACATGTCTAAGCGTACGTGACACCAGTTGCACTCCACCTCCAGCCAATTGCCTGTAGCAAAGAAGCCATTCTTTACTAGATCATCAACACAAACGGGTGCATTTGATGGCCACTGTCCAAAAGTTGCGTATCGCTCGCTTTCCAACTCCAGGGAGCGACCGTCGGCCATGGTGCCTTTCGTTCCAAAATGATGTAATTTTGGAAAATGTATTTTACAAAACAACAAAGTGCAACAAAAACTTTATTGATTCTTAGCCGTTCACACAGTGACGTCGACGCAAAAGATGACGTCGGAATAGCCAAACGCTACTTTGGTCGGTCTGGCAACACCGCCACTTGTTGGTGGCTCATATAGAACTACGCAAAAAGAACCGTTTATCATAAATGGCTTTAAAACGACTGCGAACTTATTTTATTAATTAATAAGCAGACACAACTGAACGACATAAAATGTCCAGGGAACACTGGATGAGCGAACTGCCGCCTCAAGTTCGTAATATGTCCATTATAAATCTAGCCATTCCAGGTATGAGCTCATCGCCAAACTGGAGAGCCGTTAATTGATTCGGAAATGCCCTTGACCGTCCACCCACAATTTGTTGTTACAGGTTCGCATAATTCCATGACATATGGAATTAACAGCAGATCGGGTATTGCGCCTGATGCCGATAAAAGCATACGTCGCTGGAATCGCTTCTTTCCGTGTTTCGTGCGTCGCTGGGCTAAAACCCAATCTGCAAGCATTCTGGAGCAATTGCATCTTGGTGTACGATATTTTGACCTGCGCATTGCCCAACACGAAGGCAAATTTTACTACGTTCATGGCCTACTGAGTATGGAGGTGTTTGAGCCACTGTATGAACTATGCCAATTTCTTGCCACGCACCGCCAGGAGGTGGTCGTCTTAGATATGCAGCATTTTTATGACTTGAATGTGGTCCAACACCAACAACTTCATAAAGAGCTCCTGTATATGTTTGGGGAACGCTTCTATGCTACTACGGATGGTTCACTGCATGAATGTTCTTTGCAGCGTTGCGAAGAATTGCAGCGCCAACTGGTGCTCATTTACAGACGATGCCCCATATCATTGCCTGTCCAGTTTTGGCCGAGTTCCTCGTGGCCAACACCCTGGCCAAATAAAGCCAGTGTAAAGAAGCTTAAGGAATTCCTGGAGAACTCGCTGCTTTCGCGCCAGCCCTCTCAAGGCTACGTTTCACAGTGCCTGCTCACGCCGACCGGTCGGTACATTGCTTTTCGTGTTTTCTCCAATCTCAAGCGCACTGCAAAGCGTGTGGATAAGGAGTTGCATTCGTGGATATCGGAGCAGGTGCCTGGGCCCTTTGATGAGAAGCAACCCCCACGAGCAAACGTATTCCTTGCAGACTTTGTGGGCCTAAAGGACGGCCAGTTTTGCAATTGGATTGTAGCCCTCAACAATAAGCTGGACACTGAATCAATATGTATGACCTGAAAACAATTATTTTGACGATGATCTTTGCATCGTAGATTGTTTTACTTCTGTACTGCTTTGTTTTAAATAAAAATTTAAAATACTTTCTCGGGTAACTCTTCAACGTTCTCATTTATTGAAAATATTCTTACAGACTTGCTCCTTATTGATGTTAAAAACCAAAATGTTTCTACATTGGCCTTTAGCCACGGCCTTACTGGAAGTAGGTTCTTGGCTTTCTGTACGAGAACAACTTTCTGTTGCCCTTGTGGTGAACGCGTTGTACCAATGGGAACTTGATCTTTGAGTCGTGGAATTGTTTTACATGCACGCGACGCGTCTTCGCTGCAGGAATTGGCTCTACCTTGATTATCTGAATAGAGTGAGCACGAGCACGATGACGAGCACCCATATCGCGATAACACTGCGTAACGGCACCACCCACGGTCAGATCACGGTATTCACGGTACATATTATGTGTGCCGGAACGGGAATCGTAGCGCAGCCAGATGCCAAAGTTCTTTATCTTGATTGGCGATGTCTCGTACACCTGCTTCAGGGAAACAATCTCACCGGTGGTCTTCTTGAACTTCTTCAGCTGGCGCAAAAAGTACCAGAAGCGAGATTTCGCGACAATGTTGTCGGGAGCAAAGATGCGCATCTTGTACAAAGGAGTTTGTGGCTCCTTGTCGGTTGGCAGCTTGCGGCCAACGACTTCATATTCCTTCAACTGCAAAAAAAATAAAATAAAAGCAAGGTAAGTTTTGTTAACAGGTATAAAGATATGCGGGATAACATGCACATAAGTACGTTCACACGCACAAATTCGCAGATGGGCACGTTGTTGTTGTTATTTTTTTTTTTAGGTTAAGTGGCAGCAGCGGCAATAACAATAGCATTTATATGCACCTGAACCAACGACATGGATTGTTGGGCGGATTTCTACCTATTGTTATGCACAATAGTGTAGGCCCTATTAAATTTTAGGGAAAATAAAGCATTTTACTGAATTTTTAAACATGCAAGGTGCTTCGAAACTATAGCTCTGATTTTTATACAGAAAACACTCATTTTCACTGTGACTGCCAGCTGCATTTTATGGCGCAGAGTTCGTCCATGCTTTGCGTTCAATTTAGGACAAATAACCATATAGTTGAGTGTATTATTTAAAATACTAACCAATCCCTTGGCTCTCATGATGACGGCGCACGCGAAAAAGGAAACGGAAAGAGCATGTTAAGCCGATAGTACCACTGAACTCTAAACTGACACAAAGTGTTGCATTTTGATTCTCACCAGAGTTGCTTTTTGACAGTCACACCAGAACGCTATAACCCTTTATCGATGAAACACACTTCTCTAAGCTTCTGCGCGTGTTCAATGGCTGCGAACGCAAATAATATAATAGCAAAAAAACTGTTTTTCACACGCAATTACAGCCGCTACGCCCAACAAAAACACAAAGACCTATTTTTATATACAATATTCGGAGTGTGAAAAACAATTTTTAAGCGGCGCCAGTTCTTAAAATCTCTTAATGTACAAAAATAGTGGGCTGGGAAAATGCAAAGCGTGTTTTTGCTGCCCAAGCGACGTGCAAAAAAATTGTAATATCCAAAAATTGAAACGCGCAATAAAAGCAGCTCTTTGGCCATTTTATGTTTATTAAATGCGGCAAATAAATATACGGATTTCTAAAAATCGGTAACGTGCTTTCCGCAAGCGTTTATTACGTCGCAGTAAATAACGCAATATTTGTGAAATAAAGAAGGAATTGTATAAGCATAATCGTGCCAGAGGGGTGTTGTACGACAGCGGAAAAAGCGCGGCCGCCGTCACTTCGCTTCCCGAGACCGAGATCCGCTGGGCGAGAAGCAGGCCGCTCGTGGCATCCGTGGCGTGTCTGTCTCGTTTAGTTGTGCAGCGAACGTCACCGCCGTCGGTAGTTGATTTGTGTTTTGCGCGCCTAAAATTTTGCCAGCTGCCTATTTTGTGGGAAATTACCTAGAAGCGCCTACGCATTTTTGAGCAGGTAAAGCGTGAACTTTGAATTGTTATCGCGCTTAATTTAGTTCTAAGCATTTCGAGAAAATAGGCTGTCCGGCTAAGTCGCAAAAAGAATCGAGTAAAAACCATAATTATTTTTAGCCATTTAGCACTTCGCTCTGCAGAAGATTTTTTTCTTCCAACATTTATTTTGGTTTTTTCAATTATTCTTTGCTTTGTGCGCACGTCATTCGCCGCACAGGGTTGGCAAAACAACGGTCTGATGACCGGTGTTTTTTATTAAATTTTATTTTTGCTTTCCTTCACATTTTCATTTTGTTTGTTTTCAATTCGAAACGCCAAAATTTATGCTAAAATGGAATTATTATTTCATTCTGATTTTGCAGCTGCCGCAAGCGGACGCAGTTCGTTATAAAGCAGCGAGCGCAAGGCATGCAAAGGTAATAAAAAAAATGAAATTAAATAATTTGTTTATTTATTTAGTGACGCTTGCTATCGTCTCTTGTTCTCCTGTTTCTCTCTTTTATTTTTATTTATTTATTTATTTTTGCTATGGTAACAGCGCATAAATGCAAAAAGATGATGGAAACGCTGGAACAGCAACAAACAAAGATAACATCGAGTATAGAGCCTCATGTCGGCGATACAGATACAACGGCCACAGCGGCTAGTGAAGATGATGACTATGAGGATTTTCGTAATGTTACCGAGCTGGAGGAAGAGGAGAGTTCGGAGCGTTCCCAGTGCAGCAACAACGCAGAAGATGTGGTGTCAGGTGAAGTAAGTTTGGAGAAGGAGGAAACTTACCCCAGCAAAAGCATCATTGATGCGAAAAAGATTTGTGATGATGTGGCCATTGAACTGGCATCGGAAGAGTCCCCGGCAGACAAACCGGAGGCAGTGGAAGATGTACCGAATCCGGCGGCCCAGGATGCTGAGCTTGCGGCACAGGAAGCAGAGTTGACGGCACAGGATTGGAAGCCGGCTGGTGAATCAAACACAACTTTTACTCCCAGTGTCCAGGAAAATAATGAAATGTGCGCTTCTTCTGAAGGTCATGTAGCCATAGTGAGAGAAGAGGATGTCGTGGAAACATGTAAAGAAAATAAGTTTTTGGATGAGTTTGCTGTGGAAACAGTTGAGGAAAATAATGATACGCCTGATGCTAAGGAGTTGCCATTAACTGATCTTAAGTCGTGCAAAGAAGGTAATATAGACACTTCAGAGGAAGTGTCTACGGACAATGCTGATGATCAAGCGTCTGTAACAGAATTCAAAAACGAGGATGCTGTGCCATTTGTCTGTGCTGAAGCTATTAAAATTGAGTCCTGTTCTGAGGATGAAGAAGCAGAGGCGGGGATGAATTGCGAAGCTGAAGTACAAGCAAATTGTGTTCGACTGCATTCGAGTTGCGACCAAAAGGAGGATTTGAAGTCATCTTTCGAGGATATCAAAGCAAAATTGCAGGGTACAGAAACGACAAAGATAAAAGTAAATGGTGCTCATGAGTCGCATGAGGAGTTACAAGTGGCAGTTGAGTGCAATGAAGAGGTGACGAAAGTCAAATGCGATGAGGTAGAGGCGAGAGAGGACGGGCAACTGGCTGTGATAGAAAACAACGTCGATATCGACATTTCGCATGCGACAAACGCGTCGAAGGATGGTGACAACTCCAGCTATTGTTCCGCCATGTCGGTTGTAGAGAATGAAGCCACAATGTACACCACTGTTAATGGTGTAAACGATGAGGTCGCTAGCAACAGCAATTCTGATTCGTCCGCCTCACAGCAGCTGGTCATAGATCATCCAGAAAGCGAGCAGAATTCCAGGGTCAAGCCAATAATGTTGGCATTGAAGCGAAGGCCTAGCAATGAAAGATCTATCGCCAATGATCAGGAGCCGAAGGCCAACCATGTTCATCATGAGCAAGGCAAGAATATATCGCACACACTCACCATAGAAAAGTCGGACGCTCTGGAAACGGAACACCCATCCCTGCTTATGCAGCGGCTACAACAACCGCTGGCGTCAACGTGTAATGCGCCCAACATACTCAGCTGCTTTAAGTGCAATGCCAGCAACTTTGTCAATTTCCAAGAGTTAAACGATCATTTGGTTCAATGCAATGAGCGGCCAAAAAGTGTAACAGTCCACCAAACGGCAACAACAGTAGCTAATCCCACGCAGTCTACTGCAACAACAACACCCAACTCTTCTGTGTCCCTCAAACCGGAGCGCTTCTTTCGTTGTGTGCGGTGCAATACAGTCCACCAATGCTGGAACTTTTTCTTGCACATGCGCGACGTGCATCAACGGTATATTTGTCTTTACTGCTCACATGTATTTGCTACCGTGGAGAAGCTTTCCCTGCATCTGGAGAACAAACATGACATTGATCAAGTGCATCTTGCAAGCGATTCATGGACCGCTCTTCAGCTTACCGAGGATCGTGCTCGTTATTTGATTTGCTGTACTTGTGAAGCCACCTTTCCGCATGGGTCGCGGTTCGAGGATCATGACTGTGCAGAGTTTATGAAGCCATGTACACTTTGCGGCCAAAAGGGGTGCCACACCAATGATTGTCGGAATAGCAGCACTAAGGCGGGAAAGCGAAAACGGAAGGTCAAGCGTAAGAAGGTATCGGCCGAGACACCGCTGGCTCCTACTGGCGATGCGAACAGTAAGTAAATGCCTTAATTTCCCACTCGGCTTATATTAATTACTTGTCATTATTTTCAGTTCCAGTGCCACCTAATGCTCCACTGTTGATCACATCAATGGCTGAGCCTGTAGCAGAAGCAACGCCTGCTCCGAAGTTAGTCGTTCCAAAGATTATGCTGCGAGTTCCCAAGGAATTTCAAAAATCTGTAGACGCCGCGCTTAGTAGCACGGACACCGAGGAGGAAGATCTAGAAATGGAACAGGAACCTGAACCAGAAATAGCAGGGCCCTCAGAAATAATGCAGCCGATAACGCTATCACTTGAAGCGCAGACCGTCCTCTCCGAAGACACGGAAACGGCCACGGAAACTGCGTCTGTGGTCCGTGATACAACACCACCTTCGGTGGTGGGAGGTGTCGAGAAGGATGACTCACCTACGGCCAAGCTGTCACGGGTGTTGGCAGAGATTGAGCGCACCAAGATGGATATACAGCGTACCAAGGCTGATATGGCCGCTAAGAAGCCTCCCAAGACCATATCGGCGCAAGTTGAAGAACCGCCTTCGCCTGCCGAGCGTCGCTGGTCACCAACGCCACCAGCATCACCGAAACACAATAATCACATCGATGCGGAGGCGGTGGTGGCGCCGATGGAGCAGACAAATTTGCCGCTGCCCGTACCAGAAGTTGAACAACCAGAGTTGACACGACGCAATAGTCTGGGTAGCGATTGTATGGATATAGATGACAGTATAGGCGTAAGCGCAGCCGAGCAGCCCTTAAAACAAGCATTGGCTCGACCACAGGAGGAAACAGCACCATTGCTGGACTTAGGCGTAGATGAGGTGAAAGCGACGAGCTTGGAACCCGAGTCCCAGACGGTACTGCCGGCAGTGCTTATTCCTCCTACAAGTCCTCCTCCTTCCGATGGCATTGTCGTGGCACCTGCTGATACGCACACCGTCGACCTTCAGCTGGATCGTCCTCTAGACAAATTCGATATGGTGGTCTTTGTGCGCATATGCTTAAAGGCGGTCTATCCATTTTGCTTGTACTGTAATCACGCGCGTCGCATTGCTGTCAACGGCCGGCAGCTGCTATTGCATATAATCGCCCAGCATCGATTCACGGCCACCGTGGACAGCATTACGGCAGAGGAGTTGCATGCAGAGACCATCGTGGCTAAGCTGAAAAGTTTTCTACCTGATTTGGAGTACGCGTTTCTTAATGCAGACAGCTATTGCAGCATAGGTGATGGCCAGTATTCCCATCCGTTCAATGAGCGAATATATGAATGCTTCCAATGTCGCTATGTGACTTCAACGCACAAGGAGCTCTACACGCACAATCGCCGGCTTCACATCAAGACGAATATCCTATGCTTTATGTGCCGCACCAACTTTTATAGTTTCAGCGAGATTCTCTGTCACATCTGTCCGGGTGATGCGCAGCTAACGTCTATCTATGACCTTAAGTTTCGATGCTGTCTTTGTGAAACCTCTGGCGAGTTGCCCTCTGCTTTCCGGCTGATGGTGCATTTGCGCAAAGCGCACTTTGCCTGCGACATCTGTCTGGAGGATTGCTACAGTCAGGTGCGCTTGTCGTCGCACGTTTGGAAGCACAAGCTTCTGCATCTATGCTACAGATGTGGCATTGCCTACCGCAACAAACAAGACATCTCAAAACATTTGTTCTGGAAACATGGCACCGAAAGCACCAGCTGCAAGCGTTGTCTTCAGAAGCGCTGGCGCCACGTCTATCACTTTTGCGTGCCGCCCGCCCAGTTCACCTGCGAGCATTGCCAATTCACCTTCAGCAAAGCCATATACTTGGAAGTACATAAGCGAATGCATTTGGGCGATTTTCGTTATCCATGCACGGAGGTCGGTTGCCAACAAAAATTTGTATCGCGTCGACTGCTGCTTAAGCATGCAGCTACTCACGAGGTACTTGCAGAGGTGCAATCAGTGGAGGAGAAATCATCAGACCACGTGCCAAAGCTGGAGGATGCTGATAAGCAGCAGGAAATCAAAGAGGAGAAGCCAGATCCCTCGACAGAAGAGCACAAATCGACCGGTGAAGCTGAAATCCCTACCAATGATACGCTATTAAATCACGAAGCAGCTGTCGGCAGTACGGCTGCAGAACAGCGAGAGCAAGTCAAGCAGGTGGCAGAGGAAGCACCCCGCAAGCGACGTAAGAAATCAAAACGGAATAAGGAGTCATTGGAAGATTTGAATTTGATAGCCCCGAACTTGTCTGAATCTGACAGTAGCAATGACAGCGACTCTGACGTACCTAAGAGTGTTTTGCTGGAAGAGAAGCTGCCGATTCGTGGTTCTGTGGATGATTTGGATATGCCCAAAGTAATGCTATCTCCAGCATCGGAAAGTGATAACGATAATGATAAGGAGGAGCAGGAAGAAAAGGAAACAGAAGAACGTAAGGCCGATCAGAAACAAAAAGGTATTGAAGATGTACCTACAGATGCGGAAGACTCAAAGGAAGTGATTGCACCTATTAAGAGTGAGCCTGAAAAGGAGGCGGTTCCCGAAATTTGGAAAAACTTGCTACAGCTCCAAGCCTCTGGCTGTGTCACTAAGGAACATGAGACGGAGGAGTCGCTGGCCAACTACAGCAATAGCGATGACGAGCGTTGTCCAAGGCCGGCCAAAATTCACGTGGCTATCTCGGATCATGACTATTGCAAGATAAAGCGCACCCCTCCTCCCAGTCCAGTAAAGGAAAAGGCTTTTGCCAAATTGGCCAGACGGGCCCGGCACAATTCCACAAAGCGCGGCTCCGAAGACTCAGACACTGACAGCTCGAGCTCCTCCAGTTCTAATTCGGATTCGTCCAGTTGCTCGTGTGGCTCAAATTGCTCCTGTAGTTCCAACAGCAGCAGCGGCAGCAGCTCCACTGATTCCAGCAGCGAAGACTCCGATTCCTCAGCCCAAACTCGTGGCTCGCCACAGAAGCGACCACGAAAGAAATCGGTGCGTGGTAAGAAGGGTGATCCGGCGATTTCCAAGTTGCCCAAGACGCAACAACAGCATCCAGCGGAGGAGGACGTAAATGTAACAGCGTTGTCTGAGGAACGTCCGCCCTCGCCGCCCAAGCCACCAATGTACAATGAATCTGATTTCGATACGGCAGTCTCTGATACGGATGAGGAATTCTATGATGCACATCCCCAGAAAATGGCTAGCGAGTTGTTGGCGATGAAACGCGCGGCTCTCCTAGCAGATCGCCCACAGTTGCTAGAGCAGAGCAACTATGACATTGTGGAGAATAGTCGCCCGTCGACTCCATCGCTGCCCGAGGAAGCGGCAGCCTATGCTGAGAAGCGGGAGCGCGCCAAAAACAAGAAGAAGAAGCGGGACCGCAAATCAACGTGTAGGTCTGCGGCAGGGGTGCAGCAACAATTGGAACTTAAAACGGAATATATGACACCACTTAGTAGTCAGCCCGAATCCTTGGGAGCTACCGTGCTGCCTTCCCTGCAGCTGACACAAATGCCCGTTTCCGATCACAATGTCAGTTTATTGCCACTTACTCCTCTGACGCATCGTTTGCAACCCACGCTGACGCGCATGAGCGAGGGCAGCAGCTGCTCTGACGCAGATGGTTCATTGAAGCGTTCAAAGCGCACACGTCGCCCCAATAAGTTCTATGGCTATACCAGTGACGATGAGAACATGAGCAGTGTGTTGCAACCACCATTGCAGGTAGGCATGCAGTTGATCAAGCCGCAGCCACCGCCCCAGTTGACGTGGGCTAAGGAGGATTTACCCACGCCAGCCAAGAGCATACTCAATCAGTACCGCAACAAAACGCACCGATCGACAGGAGGCGGCGCCTCCTCTGTCAGCGGGTCTGCTGCTAGTGGTGGTGGTCATCATCAGTATAGCAACGGCACGCCAACTGGCGTTCCCGGCTCCTCTCGCAAACGGAACAAGCGCACTCTGCTGAGCGGAGTGGGGGACAAGGTGGGATCGGCAAATCGCAAGCGTCCCGCCAAACGGTCACGACCCAATGAGCAACTGCCGCCAATACCTACCCTTAAGATACGCCCTGCACTTTTAGTTGCAACAACCGGAGTGGCCGGCAGTGAGAGCAGCGATAGCAGTTCCGGCGGCGAGGACGGTGACGTTAATGTAACCAGCCTTTTACCAGCCACAGTCCCTACAGCTCCTCACGTGCCCAGCGGCATACCCACGCCACAACAGCAACACCTAAATAGCCTGTTACCACCGCCACCTCCGCCGCCTGTACCAACGCCCGCTGCGACAGCATTCAACCAGCCCATTCCGCCGGCGCTGCTACCCAATCCAGACTTTGCAACGCTACAGTACTTCAAAGCCAACAACATTCGTTACCCGATTAGACCACCGGCTGGAGCGCGTCTAGCGCGTGAAGGCGAGTCTGTCTATTGCTATTGCCGGTGTCCATATGACGAGGTGTCCGAGATGATAGCCTGTGACGGGGATAACTGCCTCATCGAGTGGTTCCACTTTGAATGTGTTGGAATAATGGTAGCTCCCCAAGGCAAGTGGTTCTGCGCCGAGTGCCGTCCCAAGTACTCAGAGGGTCTCTATCCCATGGTAAAAGGGAAGTAAGCGGTTCTGTAAATAGACGTAGCCCCTCTTGAAAATAAGTTATCGTACCCTCTAAAAAATGAATTACGCTTATTACCTAATTAATGTAGTTGTCCGCACACTCCCTTTCCGGTGTGGAAATTTTAGTGCGAATGCGTGTGGAATACGAAATCAACCATAATGAACTCATGTAAATAGGAACAAGGCTCAAATCTTTGCTATGACGCTCGATTCAAATATGCAGAGAAAATGTCATTTAGGTTTAAACAGATATACCCTATGTAACATTTAATTAAGAATAAAATTAGCTCTTTTGTAAATATGTGAACAAAACAAACTTATAATTTTATGACACTTAGACTATTCGTATGTGAAGAACAATGCATAGACTTAAACAATAATACAAATCTTAAAGCATAATACTATATATAATTATAAATCTATAATAAAAACCACAAAACAATGACTTTGGCTAGAGATATGTATGTACTATATACAAAAAATAATGCAATCGATGAGAAATAAACGTAAATTAATATACAAGTGCATACGAAAGACTTTTTATAAATACTACTTAATATGTTTGTACACATATTGGCTTAGTTGGGTTGGCAACCCAATCATTTTGGATGGTGATTACCGAAGAAGCAGCCAAAAAAGTGCATCAGTTTATCAAAACTGGTAAAATTAATGAAAATCTTTAAAAATTTCTTCAAGTAAATAATATATAGCATTTTAACCAAATTATTTGGTCTACGTTTGTGCTCTGTTTCACTATAACAGAAAATTGTAATAGATGAAAAATACTCGCTTGATTTGGATTTGAGTGATTATTCAGAAAATTACATTGCCCATGAAAGGAAAGCGCCATAAATGTCGACCCCATTCTAAAGGACATGCCGACTAACGGTCTCAAATACTCGTTCAAGGGCTTCTAAAGGACATGCCGACTAACGGTCTCAAATACTCGTTCAAGGGCTTCTTCATCGTGGGAAACCTTGTATTGAGTCGGAAGACAAGACGAGTCGATCTATGTCTGTCTGTCTATCCGCTTGTCCGTATGAACAGATGGATCTCAGAAACTATAAGAGATAGACACCAAATTTTGCACAAAGATGAATTATGTGTGTACGCTATAAGTTATTTTTTTTTTTTGATTTGGAAACACCATTCGTATACTCACCTATATCTCGGGGAGTATAAGAACTAGGGACACCAAAATTTTCCTAGGTCTTATACTCTCTGAGATATAGGAGATTATACGAATGGAAAATCGGGGGAAACCCCCATAGGGGGGAAGTGGGGAAGATAATTAAAAAAAAATTAAACAAACTCGTATAGCGTACACACATAAGGCATCTTTGTGCAAAATTTGGTGTCTAGCTCTTATAGTCCCTGAGATCCAGGTGTTCATACGGACGGAAAGACTGACAGACAGGGCTAGATCGACTGCTGATCAAGAATATATATACTTTGTGGGGTCTGCCACGGCTCCTTCTGCCTGTTACATTTTCAGCTCCCGCAAACCTAATATACTCTTGTACATTTCATGTACAGAGTATAAAAACCAGTGGAGAAACTAAAGTCGGGTTTTCCGACATTCAAATAAATATGTGTATAATAATTATAACAAGTAAAAAGTCGGGTATCCCGACTTTGAAATACTCTGTACATATGTTTAAAACAATTATAAAAATTAAAACAAGTAAAAAAGGTAAAGTCGGGTGTCCCGACTTTGAAATACTCTGTACATATGTTTACAATAATTATAGAAAATAAAAAAATTAAGAAAATAAAAAAAAATTCAATGATCGATTTTACCTTTCTCGGTATTCGAACTCACGTAAAGGGTGTATAATTGCACATTTACATAGCAATTGCGTCTGTGTGAGTGTATGTATGCCTATGCGCATCAATTCGTGTCTGTGTAAGCATTTTCGCAGTCAACCAAACAGCAACATCAACAACAGCCGCGGGCAGCGCTTGAGCAGCGCTGCAGCAGCAAATATATTTATGGCTATAACTTCTTGGTAAATCGGTCTACCATAGTGAAACTTGGCATACGGACACATAATTACTAACTGGGGGTATTTGCAAAATTTTAGTTCGAAATTCCAAGAATTACGGGAGTTAGAGAAAATCGCATTTGCGGGGGAGAGGGGGGAGGGAGGGAAATTCCAAAATATACATTTTCTGCGTATTCACACAAGGCATCTTGGACTAAAATTTGGTGTCCCTAGGTCTTATAGTCTCCGAGATATAGGCGATTATACGAATGGAAAATCGGGAAAACCCCCATAGGGGGGAAGTGGGGGGGAAAATAAAAAAAAATAAAACAAACTCGTATAGCGTACACACATAAGGCATCTTTGTGTCTCTAGCTCTTATAGTCCCTGAGATCCAGGTGTTCATACGGACGGAAAGACTGACAGACAGACAGACAGGGCTAGATCGACTCGTTTTGTCATGCTGATGAAGAATATATATACTTTGTGGGGTCTCCCACGCCTCCTTCTGCCTGTTACATTTTTCACTTCCCGCAATCCTAATATACTCTTGTACATTAATGTACAGAGTATACAAATCTTGTAGCTTAGGGATTAAGAGCGTCTATATACAAAGTTTGGTTAATCTGTGTTCAACCGTTTCCGGAATCCAGGCGTTCATATAAACTTTATGGGATCGGATCAGCTTCATGCTGCCTGTTACATACTTTATACAAATCTAATACATACTTGTATACATTTCTTAACCTTTGGGTACAGAGTATAAAAAGTATTAAAATATCCCATTGGCAAGGATGTTAATCAATGGAGGTGATATATCTCTCTCCATAAAAGCTACATACATTTATACTTATATCACAAAAGCTTACCTTGGCTGATTGGATATTTTCCTCATTAACATTAAAAGCTTTAATGGTATAAAACCCTCATGATTCGCTTAAAGTTCTCATAAGGTAGCTGATGAATCGGAAATGGAAATGTATTGTTGAACTCCTACAAGTATGTCGTCTGTGAAGTGTGGAAGCGAATGCTAGTTGCATCGAAAGGAAGTAACAAATACTTATGTATGTATGTTAAGCGAAGCTTATCTAAGAACTTAACCGAACATAACTAATCATAACTAGCGATTACATGTAAAGATTTATACGTAAAGATTAAAGCCAGTTATTACGCTAATTACATAAATTATTTAAAAAAAAACTACTGGTATAATTGTAACTAAAATCAGAAAAACCGTTTAGGAAGTCAACGCCTAATGATTAAAAAAGGCTTAAAAATATAATTAAATCCAGTTAGCGCTATGAGTCAAGACCAATAATTGTACAAATTTTGGCTCTAGCATTCCATTTTTTATTCCGAAATGTCATTAGAATGCAAGCCTAATGAAGTTTTATCAACAGCGGTGCACAAAGAACGATCAATAATATCCTTAGTAGAAAATTTATTATAATGTCTAACATTTTTCTAAAGGTTTATTCAAATCTATTTATCTTATCTACTCGTATATGCATTACACCTATATGAACGAACTGTGTGAAAAGCAGTATTTTTGCCTGCAATGGTATTATGCTATGATTACAATTTTCTAATAGTGCCCCGCTATATTCTGAAGAAACGATTTGGAGCATCGATTTATACAGATCAGGGCATTGAAATGCTCCTGAAGGACATATAAGAGTCGGACGTGCGCTACATTCTTTTTGTTTATTTCTCTACTTTTTCATAGCTTGAGCTGCGATTGATGGTAGATATCTATCTACAACACATTTGGTACCAGGCATAGTTCTGGTTCTAAAGTTCGCAAATTTAACCAAAAATACAAGTAAACAAATTAAAAGAAATGTTTATTATACCCTGAACCCAAAGGGTAAAAGGCTGTACTAGTTTTGTGCGAATGTATGTAACACACAGAAGGAGGCGTGACAGACGCCACAAAGTATATATAATCTTGATCAGGATGACAAGCCGAGTCGATATAGCCATGTCCGTCCGTCTGTCTGTATGAACGCAAGGATCTTACAAAGTATAAGAGCTAGAATAACCAAACTTAGTATCCAGATTCTCCTACGCCCGAGAAAGGGCAAGTTTCTTCATTTTCCCGACCATGATAGGTCAATTCTGAAGAAAGTTATAGCCATAAATAAAATCGCTGCCCATTCTCTGCCAGCAGCTCTGCCCTCAGCTGTTGTTGCTCGACTTTAGCATTCCTTTCTTGTTTAATATCTTTATGTTTAGCCTCTGCAGCTTCTTCAGAGAGCTCTCCAATCGATAATAATGCTGAATAACGTCAGGACCGTGTATTAATATTTTATGCACCGAAGCTGACAAATAATACCAAGGGTATGTTTCCACAAGTCCTCTTCCTGTCTCCAGCGTATATTACCTATATTTGTCTACATTTATTTTATAGACAGAATTCAAAGATTGCAAAATAGTAGCACATCTGCCAATTAAGTTTTTATGAAGACCAGTAATTTTTGCCGCTAGTCCAGGATCTTTACAAAATTTACGAGCTGTGTATCCATTATTTGATGTACCACTGCCGCAATTTTTTGCAGACGGCAGTAATACAATTCTGTAACTCCTCTGAATATGCTCTGTAGCTGTCTTTTCCCAGCTCCAGCTATATCGAGTCCACGATATGCCGGATCCTTTCAACATTGGTGCCATTTAGAGCGCACCCCTTTTGAAAAATTATTTCGTACGATATCGAACATTGAAAATAATTGCCTTGAAACTTGAAATTAATGATCTATACTAATATTATAAAGAGGAAAGATTTGGTTGTTTGTTTGAATTGAAAAGACTCCGAATCTACTGGACCGATTTAATGATTCTTTCACTGTTGGGAAGCTACACTATCGACGTTTAACATGGGCTATATTATATTTACTAAAACGCCAATAAAGTAACCAAAGGTGTAAAAAAATTACCTTAAAAAACTCCTGAATAGCATGCTGTTAGTTCATAATCATACTCGAAACATTGTCACTTTAAATATTAAGGCAATATTATTCAAAAGCCCCCAGCCTAATAAAATATTACAAATCGATCGACATCGTGATTAATATTTAAGACATTTAAATTCACTAAACTCTTTTGGACTGCCGCCACACGAATTGACGGTAAAATTCGGAATTGCAATCATGCTTTTGAGAAATTAAAGCCTTCCAAGCATGTGCAATGGGACGAGGCTGCTTATTAAGGAGTTACAGGACAATTTAAATGTATCAACGGCCCAGCGGCCCAACGGCAACTGGTCAACTTGCTCATATAACGACATCGCGTCACTTCGCAACCATCATGACAGAAGCCTGATAGAACAAATGTTAAGGTATTATCATAAAATATAATAGTAGTCCTACCGAGGACAGGTCTTGAATAAAAATTGATGATTTACAAAAAATAGACGGATGCAACATTTCCAATACCTAATTCCTTTTAATGTTTAAGCTGATCGCACAGCTACAGTGTATGATAGAACAACTACAGGCATGTTGTCTGAACTTGTTCCGCAGCAAAAATACATTTGCCCACTAACGAGGCGAACATGGCGAACAAAAAATCCAGGAAGTGCAAACGTTAAAATGGATGTGGACGAAAACACGGTTTTCTTCTTATGACCATTTACATATGTATAGGTATAGAAACAAAATGATTACATTTTCCCATGTTTTATTGCGGAAATGTTTGTTTTTATAATCTTTAGTCTTATTTTTCCACAATGATGGGTCAGTTTGGGGCATTCAATGATTTGGAGTACAAATTCTGTTCTGGCACGTCTGTCTATTATTCTCAAATGATGCTCGGGCAACACTGCCTTCCACTGTCGAACATGTTGGCACGAACAGTTGCAAGTTGGATTCTCCGATGCCCCGATTTCTTCATAAACAAAAATTCTTTTCACTGTTTAACCTGATTGTACAGTTACAATATATTATAGATCAACTTCATGGTAAAGGGTTGACCAAGCTATTAAATTTTTACTAATTGTTTGCTTATCCAATGATCACCAACTAAACGCACACGAGTTAATCTCGAATACGTTTTCGAACGGTTGCCCCGCAGTGACTTCCTGTTCAATGTCCTACATTCAAGTTGGCTTCTATAAAATAATTTACCGATTATGTTGCTCTGAATGCAAATAAGTCACAACAATGTTTTTATTGATGTGTTGTTGTTGCTGCTGTTTCTGTTTCTGTTGCGCATTATGAGAACGATATGTGGCAGGGTCATTTAGTCAGCAACCACCAAACGTGAGCCTGCCACTTCCCACTGACGCGGTTTGTTTACCAAACACCCGCTCTGATTTAATTGCTGTTATGAATGTCCAAAAGCAGCGAGTAGCGAGTGCTAGCAATGGCGGCAAAAACGACGTCACCCAAGTCAAGTCCAGCCACAACAAAGTTAAATAATAGTGACTGTAGCACCAGGGTCCGAGAGTCTAGTCGAGTCCTAGTCCCAGCCAAAGTCGGCGTCGTGCCCGATTACTGTACATATGAATGTATGTATGCGTGAGTGAAAATTACCATAAATCTGCTTTGACTATACTCGGACTTTCATATAAAATAGCCGCTGGTGAACTTGAAGCGGACAGTTCGTGTTGAGTTAACGTCGCGCACGGTCGCATTTAACGGAAAAGGCGCGTCACGAGTAAATTTGAATTGCGAGGGCGCTTTCGTGTCCTTTAATTCACAATCGTGTGCGTGTCTGGGGGTGCATTTTTGCTTACTAACGGGCAATGCGGCAACAAGATAAACAAATACAATTACCTCGTACATTATTTTTATTAACGGACGGCATTTGAAAATTTATTGGCCGGCTAGCCAACAGCGGACAGTGTCATGGTGAGACGCGCCTCTAGCGTGCCCCATCTGAACAGCAGTGGCGGGAGCAGCGCCGAGAGCGCAGGCAACGCTGCCAGCTCTCGGGGGCGTGCAGGTCTTAGGCGGGGAAAGGCGCCCACGCAACAGCGTCAGAATTCCAGCAATGCGAATGTGCCGCGCTCGCGCAGCCTGACGAACAGCATGCGGCGCCGCTTGAGTCCGCAGAAAGGTAGTAGCGGAGGCGGAGGGGCCGGCGATAGCTCCAGTTCACGCAATACCCCCTATTTTCTGCGCTCACGTGAGAATGAGTAAGTGCGTCATTTTCAATTGGCGGCGCTGCCGCAATTCCCACTGTAATCAATAGGTTTGTGTATATTTTTGGCGCCCATGAAAATTGAATGCTACTGTTTAAAGCCTTGACTAGAGCCGTCTGGGGAGGAGAAATGTGAAAATTGCGTATGACCGATATGATTCGCATATCGCAGCATAGCAGAGTGAGCTACTATTAGTGACTACGAGTATATTAAATTGTATTAATTTATTTCAATAATTGGGGCGCACTAAGCTAATCAAACGTCAAAGCGACCATCCCCTAAGCCATTACCATACCAATAGACAGGTCATTAAAAACCCAGCGTAATGACCACGCACAATTCGCTGGAAGAGAGACAAGCGGACAGACAGTTGGATAAACACGCGCCGCTCGGTTCCCCTTGATAATTTCTTCGCGGCCGGCGAGCATTTTATTTAAATAAATAGCCAGGCAAGCACGTCCTACCAATAGACTGACGGACATTATATTATGGGACGAAGAGGGAATAGGACAGGATGTCTATTTTCATATCTAGCACGGGGGTTGAGCAGTATCAATCGATTTTACAATTAAAGCATAGGTTCCGGGAATGAGAGCGAAAGTTTTATTACTTAGTACACTATATTCAGTTTCCTTCTGGTAAATGTAAGGTCGCGAAGTTTGTAGGTCTAATTGCATTCAATACTTAGATAGGAATGACAATTTGGAGAGGCAGATTTAATGTGCTTGAGGCCAAGGAACTATTGACCCAATTGTACGGCTTATAACGATGACCGATACGAAGTAAAAATGTCAAAATACTGTCCTTAATAACATACATATGTACTTATTTTGTTGTTGAGTTAAAATCTAATGATTTGTAAAACTGCTTATTCTTTATACGTATTCCATGCCGTGGCAGACCCCCATGTTATAGGTACATAAGTACTTGTATATGATCAAAATGATCTTTGGTTGAAAGGACCACCAAACTTGGCAAACCTTGTCTTGTTCATCCTCAGACCAAACTTACCATGCACTTTTTTTGTACAGTATGTACAACTGTCATAGGAATCAATAATTCGGAATCATCAAATACTCTACCAATATTTATTCCACAATTTATACCGCGTGTTGTATTTAATGTTGTGTAGCAGTCCATGTCGCTTCTATGCCAAATAAAATACACTTTAATTTTTGGGAGAAAAATTAGATGTTGAGGCAATGCTAGATCGATTTTTAATCGGTTGTTGCTACACAGGCTCCAACATAAGAGTATGGACATATCTTCTTGTAGTGTCGTATTTATACAATTTCAAGCCGAAAAAAATTATAAGCAGCAATTGGCTGAATTATTATAAGTAGTGCAAACACGAAACAAAACATTCTTTATACTACAAGTATCTTTTAAGGGTCGAGGGCTACCGATTTGCCTATGTCTTCATATCTGTCAATTTGGTTGAGACTCCAAAGTTTCGAAGGCATTACCCAATCGTGATTAAATACTCCTACAAAGGATATAGTGTGTTAAGTCTGATATTTTCACTCATCGATTAAGGGGTGCTATAGGTATGCACATGTTCTGTCAACAGCACGAGATGAATCAGTATAGATATGCACGACTATGTGTGTCTGTTCCTATACAAACTATTCTCACAGTTTTTAAGGTAAAGTGCTGAAATATTATAAATGGGCTTTTTATTCCTGACGGAAAATCATTTGTCCAAACAAGTTCGATTGGATTATAGGATCGGCTGCTTTTGCAAAACCTTCTTCGTTTTAGAGCTACCTCACCCATATTTGTTAAGCTTTATAGGTTTTTCAATTAATCATTTCATACGACTCTTTAAATAATCAAAGTGTGTAACGTTTTTGTGTGTAAAGTTTTACAACATCTATAAGAATGATTGGAAGAATACTTCTTGTGATCGTGTGTCTGCCCGCTTCTATGTTTTAATCACAACTTCCCCAACAGTTTCAGTGGGATAAAAACTTTGTACCGAGACTTTTTGTCGGCCAGATAATATGTCAAACGATACATACGAGTATAAACAGATTTATGATTCCTTTTTAGTTCAGTACTTACCACAATGTGTTTGTCTATAGGAAAGCTTTTCTATATTTGATTTTCTGATTTGTCTTTGTTAGCTCAACTGCCTATTTACCTGGCACCGATTTGACATGGCACATTCATAGGTACTCGTATACATTCATTGTTCTTTACCCAATAAATACAATTTGTCGACCACAAATTAAGGCAACGCCAAAAAGCATATGTACTATACATACAAATATGTGTAAACACGTGTCCATATAAAAAACAACTTGACGAGGTATTTACATATACTCGTACATATGGCGAAAGTAGAACTGACTGCACCCACAAATTTTAGTTCTTTTACTATATTTCTAGCAGTCTGATGGAAAAAAAAAATATATATATATACATATATATTTATATATATATACATTTAGTTCGAGCATTTAATTCTCAACATTAAAAATAATTAATACATGTAGTTAACGAGAATGGAATACTAATCGACTAGGCTTAGCTCCAAAATACCCTCTACCACTTCCATAAAAAAGTACGACACATGTTTTTCTTAATTTAAATGGGTTTTATTTCACTAATTAAATGAAAACGATTCGATATTAATATTATAGATAACACCTATGTCCACATATACCTTTTTATACATGATATTAAGTCCGAATACAGAATCCTTCCCAGGATAAAATATTAAATTAATTAAATATGTTGATGCCTTTTGATTGGCATATCGCATTACTTGTAGATTATAATATCAAGAAATATAATATTAGTGATGGACACCACGAGTTGTTGCTCTTGCCACTAAAGGGACTGCCGTTCAAGGTGATGTACATATGTATGTTTATAGCAACAAATATCGCATGGACTTTCACTTTTATTTGCCTTTGAACGGCAGTTAAATCATTTGCTGTGTAGACATATTCTTTGCATATGTGAATGTATATCCTTATATCTGTCTGTATATCCTTATCTACATATGCATACCCCATGTATAGTATGTGTCTGTCGGCATGCCGTGCAATGAAACCCTTGGACGGCGACTACCGAAAGTTAACTTTGCTTTTACGATTATCTTTTGAACAATCCAGTCAATGATACCGTATAATTATGACCTAACTCGTGTCACATGCATAGGTCAGGTAGCTGATATAGATTTTTAAATTGCGAAGTTTGCTCGACGTATGCAAATAAGCTGCTACTGCAGTTGGCTCTGTGTGGTTCGGTGGTTATGATGAGACAGTTGTTAATGCGTATAACGGTGTGCGTGTGTATCGGACAGTCATGCGTCGTCAATCATGGAATGATAGTTCATTAGTCAAAATGCTAAGCTTTGAATAATGACGGCCGCTATAATTATGGATAGTAGGTGCTTTGAATATACTAGTAATGGTATGTTTAGCAATAAATCAAACAAACAATATTGGTGTTAAATTTCTCAGTAAGTACAATAGCGTTGACAGGACCTAATAAGCACAAAGGTAGCTCTAATTGGCATTTATTTGGAACGGACCCACTTCAAGCGTTTAACGCAATGGACTTGAAATAGTAATATACGTAAACAATATTTAATTTTTTTGTGTTGCTCATCAATATGTTCACATTAAAACAACGTACAGATATTTCCATATCTTTTTGAGTAGCACATCGTTTCCTGTTAAGTAAAAACAAAAAAATGCTAAAGTCGAGTGGTTTCAGGTCTTATAATCAGAACTCTTTATTGTAAACTAATAATAGAAACACACAATTTTATGAGCCAATTTTTTGTGCATTAATGAAAGTAAATATACAGTAAATGTATATATATACGAATACATGTACTCGTACATTAATATTGCGTCTATTGTGAGCCACAGTAGCAACAACAACAACTGTAGGCAGTGCATTGTCACTTATGGCAATAACTCTTTTACATTTGACCTATCATGATGAAACTTAACATAAGCACTAACGGGATCACTAAATCACTAATACCGAGAGAGTGGGTGGTTGGATCAGAAAAAAACTTGTTCTTTCTCGGGCTTAGGAGAATCTGGATATAAAGATTGGTTATTCTACCTATTATACTTTCTGAGATCCTTGAGTTCATACGGCCAGACGTGGTAAGAAGCCAACAAGTTCGTACATTTAAATATTTCATTTTTCTTTAAAGTAAAAGATACATTTAAATTTTTCATTTTACTGTAAAGAAAAAGATATGTTGTTTTATTCATGTTTGTAAAGCCCAAAAGGTGTAATGGTATAACCGCGCATGATATATATAGGTACATCCCCGTGCTTTACTTATTGGATCCAAATTGTAAGAAAAAACGTGTTTTTAAGAAGGTTCCTTTCATATCTAATGATGTTGAATGGTGGTCCAAATATGGAATAGACAAAAATCTTGGAGGACACAGATTGCAAAAGCCAAGATTGGAGGCCGATTTTTCCAATATCGTTTTGTAAGAATGTTTTAGTCTTTTATTGGACTCATATATTTAATAAAAATCCTTTACTATTATTACTCGTAAAAGTAACCTCTGGTGAATCTAAAAAAACTCTCGATTGGTCAAATAATGAAAGCGTAAGTTTATTGAACCCTAGTTCGACCATCAATTGCTCCAACCATTGACGCGTAAAAAATGGTTGTAGCGACAAAAGCACCCAAACGTCTAGGTAATTGGAATGGCTATGGAACAGCCAGCTCGGCATAAATTTTTAACCAGTCATTTGCGTGAAAACGCTAAATGTCAACCGATAGAACAAAAGAAAACTGTGTGCTTTACTCATACGGAGTGTGGGTCAAACGTGCAGTTCAATAAACCAATTACACTCGCAGTGTGTTCTTATTAGTAGAAGAGCCTGGACAATTGTTTTGCTTTGGTTGGTAAGGCATTTGACTATTTCTGGAGTAAAAGGGAAAGGCACTAAACAAATGAAGTAGGGAATTTCGACATAACTCAACAAATTTACATATTTCCATAAAGCCGCGTAAATTCCAAAGAAGAAACTCGTTAATCATACTACATATGTATAAGGCGTCACGATATAAAGTCCTATGACTAATTAGATTGCGTTGAATACAAAAAATAAACCAAAGTGAAAGCTACCCTTGGCCTTGGCTGTGTGTAAACGTCACCTCAGTTAAATGGTTGGCCCAGTCAAGTTCAAGGGAAATTACGCTGGAGTGAATTCGCCTCAAACATTTTACGAAATGGTTTTATATAATTGATTTTTTGTGCTATTGTATTTAGAATTGGCAGTGCGGATACACTGGAAATTGTTGCCTCCAAGTCGACAGGCAGCGAGCCTTCTACGCCAGAGGATAACATCAATGTGGTTGTCCGAGTTCGTCCACTCAATGAGAAAGAGAAGCGTGACAAGCATGGAGCAACTCTGCAGTTTCCTGGCAACGGACAGGTCATAGTAAGTCTTAAGCACCTATTTCCCGATAGCATTACTTTAAAACCCACCTAACCCACTCAATAGATTGAGGGTAACGACACTGGACAGAAACGTTCACACAACCGTGACAGCGTCCGCGTTTTCACATATAATGTGGTCTTCGAACCGGGTGCCACACAAGACGACATTCTGGATTATTCAGGCATTAAACGTATTATTGAAATGGCAATCGAAGGTTTCAGCTGCACAGCCTTTTGCTATGGGCAGACGGGTTCGGGAAAAACACATACACTAACGGGACCACCGGATTTGGTAAGAGAGAGGACAGCCTTTGCACATTAATCTGGAGTCTCTATAAAAGAAATTCTTTGCTTATAGTTCATTGGCAAGCCCAATCTTAAGGATCCACGCCATGGGCTAATCTTCCGTTCGTTTGTGTATCTCTTCCAATTGATTAAGAACCGCAAGGATGTTAACTATGTGTTAAAGGCTTCGTTTATGGAGATTTACAACGAGCGGGTGAGGAAAATATTTAGATTTTTTTAAACAATTCTTACCCAACTTTTAAAGGAATATGTTCTTTTAATAACTCATAAATTTTTTGAAATTCACATATTCGATCGTGCTTATATCAGAACAGTTATTGCTATTAATAGCTAATTGGTTTCCATACCATTCGAAACGCATCAGTATCTTCTTGTCGACCTCACTTTTGTATATACAAGTATATATATTTTTTTTATAAGCCATCTATTATAAGACATCAATGGATGCATTTGTTAAATTGTCGCAATGCAGTTTCACCTGGAATTTGCGTGGCATTTCAAATGAATTGTTTGTTGATGGAATGACCACCAAGTCCAAACACCACTTTAATTTCATTATTGGTTTTCTAAATTGAAATTGAATTATACATACTTACATAGCATACATACTTTCTACATGCATGCGCAGGTAATCGATTTGCTCAACCCGGGCAAGAGTCTGGCAGTCCGCTGGTCGAAAAAAACCCGCGGATTTTTTGTGGAAAACTTGTTCACAGTGGACTGTGAGGAGCTGGACGATCTCCTAGCAGTGTTGGAGGAGGGTGAGTATCCGAAACTGAAATTTCTGATGAAGATTACGAGCTGGTATATATTTGGCCAGGCATGCGAAATAGGGCCGTCGGTTCGCACGCCATGAATGATCACTCGTCCCGCTCCCACACGATCCTCACGGTACACATTGTGTCCGAGCAGCAGACCGATGGTGGTGTATTCCTTTCCAAGCATGGCAAAATAAACTTTGTGGATCTTGCTGGCAGTGAGCTGACCAAAAAGACCATGAGCGAGGGCAAAACGCTGGAGGAAGCTAACAACATTAACAAAAGTTTAATGGTGTTGGGTTACTGTATAGCATCTCTAAGTGATTCTAAGAAGCGCACTGGGCATATCCCCTACCGCGACAGCCAACTGACCAAGTTGTTGGCCGACAGCCTGGCGGGAAATGGAGTTACACTAATGATAGCCTGTGTTTCTCCAGCGCACTACAATCATGCAGAGACCTTAAATACGCTTCGCTACGCCTCAAGGGCAAAAAGAATTCGAACGAAGCCAGTCATAATGATGGACCCACGTGAAGCTTTAATTCTAAGTCTCAAACGAGACATTCACGCACTGCAGTTAGAGAACGAGCATTTAAAGGCGGCGCTGAACTTGAATCACGGGGTGGATATGGCACCTGGTGGTAGTAATCTGTTGGAGCTACAGCTGGAGCGTGTGGGCAGCGGTGGAGTACCTGTCCCCAAGGTAGACCTGGAGCGTTTGCCCGAGCTAGATGGGACTGAATTGGCTGAGTTGGTCAAGCTGTACATGGCTGAAAATGAGTCTCTGCGCCAGGAGAACAATCATTTGTTTACAGTAAGAGAAACGATTTTGCGGGATCAGGAGATTGTATGCAGGGAGAACGAACGATTGCTCAAGAAGCTAGAGGATGTAAACAAGTGAGTAGTGGCGGGGGGGGCTTAACTTTGGTTGGGGCACGCTTGGCTCATTGCTGTCTGTTTTTGACTCGTTTTAGATTGAAACCGAGCGATCACAATGAGCCAAGCGTTCAGCTGGCCACTGGGGCGGCAGCGTAATCGACGTACAAATTGTGTCTTTTACATACATACATATGTATAAATACACATACAAGTATAAGCATGTATAACTGCAATTTTTAACTGTGTTTTTTAAAACGAATTTAGAGTGTGACTAGTTCCGTAAGAATAGCATTTTTTGAAGCAATAAATGTTTGTTTTTGTTCCGACCATAGAGTTTGTGTGCGTTCTCCTCTAATACCCGCGAGACCGGCTATTTCGCCGGCATCTGGAAAAGAAACGCCAGGTACCGAAATCTGGACGAATCCTCAGGATGAGCCCGAGTTGCCGCTAGATCAGCGAATTTCCGAAAATTTTGATAAGCGAACGCATACTGCACAGCGTCGAATAGATCAACAGCGTATAGCCAAAAACATTCTTCTAATGGCAAATGCGTTCCGAAAGCCAGATGCTGAGATCGCCAAAGAGCTGATGATACAAAACCTTAGCCACATTAACAATAACCAGAGTACGGGTGAGGAAAAAAAATACAAGGAAGCGGACCTAATGCCAGAGTAAGTCGAAACACTGTGAATAAATCATTTAAAACTTTATACACATATGTATGTGTGTATGCACATATCTATTTATTTCTCTTTCAGTATGCTGACCTAACATATGATAAACAAACATACATATGTATATGTATTTGAATGTATATGTAAACATACCTATATATTTTTTGAAATAAATATCAAATGTTAAAATCCAATTTAAATAAATTTTAATTTAAATCTAAATATACGGTAAAAAGACAATTAAGCGTTGCCATACTTTCTTGTCCGAACATTTTTAAGATATGTTTTCAACCGCTAACGTATTGTAACAGGTAGCAACTACATCAACATCACAAAGTGTATCGATACCAAAATCAAAGCCTATTGATTTTTCTAGCGTTCAACAGCTTGTGTGTACTATTGGGGCTTTGCAAGTAAAAACGTTAATACTAAATACACTACATTTGTCATAAAAATATACATAACTTCGCATTACAGAGCTACAAAGCCAGACTGTTTGAAACCATCCCGTCATTTGCTGATCATCTAATTTTCCCTTGCTGTTCACCATAGGTCTTGCCGAGACTGCAGTGTTAGATATAATGGCTGCTAATTTGCAACAGCAGCGCACCATCAACGAGCAATTGCGTCGGGAGGTGGGCATCCCGCGCATACAGGTCTCGGAGGCCTCCATGTTGTTGATGCAATACGTCATGGAGCATGAAAGTGACGACTGCCTGTTGAGTGGCTTCACTAGTCAAAAGGTTAATCCTTTTCGCGAGAAGAGCTCGTGCAACATCTTATAAGTTAAGATGTGGGAGTGGTGCACACGTTCCTAACAGTATTAAAATGCATACATACATACTACATACCTGGGTAATGTTTACGTTCTCGCCGCACTCTAATAGACTAATACATAGAAAAATCTATAAATTTATGTGTGTATAACCTTTGATGTTTGTTGTAAGTGTATTCTGACCTCAATTATGTCTAAAAACTGAATATACATACATACAAAGATATACAATGTAGGCAAAAACTTATGAATGTATAAACAATTGCAAACCGTCTCAAATACACTTACATATTTATACATGTATTTTGCTAACCCTGTAGCTCTTTTTTGGAGAATTTGAAGTGGATAAGTGATTCTTAACTAATTCTACGCCAAACTATTCTTGTTTCCTTGAGAAATATAAATAAAATAAATAAATGTGAACCTTTATTTTTTACTGCCCCAAATTATAATGGAGCGAGCACTATTGGAGGCACTGAATTTGAAATTTTCGTCAAATATTGAGAGGTATATTTAAAAATTTCTAGTTTTAAAAATCTGTATAAATATGGCAGATTTTAACAACAAATCATCTACGTTGGGCTCTAATATTCATATAAGAAGATCGTTGGTTACTAATCCCTATTTCCTATTCCTCGAGAAATTCCGCGCTAACTTACAATCACGGAATGTGACGAATTTGAAAGCAACAACAATCGCTCAATTGGCCGGTAAGAAGTGGCGTGAAATGAAACCAAGCCAGAAGTCCACCTATATTAAAATGGCACATAAAAACCGTGAAGCTCGAGCAGCGAGTGGCATACACATCACAAGACGAAGACGGAGTAAGAATCACTCAAGGAAATATTAAATAGTGCATTTAAGTGTTAAGTATTACATTTGCAAGTTTTTCTCAATAATCAAAATTGATTCCGTAACTTTGAATATGTTACATACAATTTATAAAAACCTGTTGCTTTCCTCTACAAAGATATTTTAAAGAATTCTTGAGACCCCAATAAGAATTTGTTATATTAATATTGGCTTAGTTCCATAGTGCGCTTTCAAGTACGGCGTTTTGTAACACTAGTTGAGTAGGCAGTGGCAACTCTATTTTGGCATATTGAAAAACAAAAACACATTTTGTTGGCACGCTTTAGTAATTACTAAACAAATCTAAAATCGGAAAAGCATCAGTTGAAATATGAGTTCTGGATTTGTTACCGAAACGGAGGCTGTTGAAACACGCCAGCGTCGCCAAGAAGAATGGGAGCGGGTGCGGAAGCCCGATGACCCAGTTGAATTGCCTCAGGATTCTAGATCATTATATGACCGCTTAAAGGAGCAAAAAACTAAGAAAGATATGGAATACGAGGAGGCACACAAATTGAGTAAGTTTATATTTATTCCACGAGTCTGCAGGGTTTTAATCATCATAGTGGGACTTCATCAGAGAATCTAATACGTGGTCTCGACGACGATGAAGTTCAATTTCTGGAGTTACTGGATCAAAACAAACTAGATGCCGAGCGTCAGCAGCTTCGTGATGAGGAGCGAGAGTTGAATGATTTTCGTAGCCGTGTCGAAAAAATGCATGAAGAAAGCGTTGACAAGGTGAGACAAAATTAAAGCCCAACATTTGTTGAGAACATGTGTGAGAACATTTTATTTAAAAAAACTTGCCTTTTATATTTATTTTATTTTTTCTCAAAAATCAGTTATTTGTCAATATAAAGCGTCAAAAAAATAATAAAAGGCTTTGCAAACAATAAAAAAATAACTAACCGTTTAGTTAATTCATAAAATACAAATTTTTTCGGCTGGACAGAATAATAGGGGTGTCAAACAAAATTTGTGAAAAATATTGAAATTTTGTTATTTATGGTCCCGTATTGTACTGAATTGATTAGAGCACACTTAATACCCTAAATATCCGCTATTATTCTTAATTATTTGTTCGATTCCTGCAGACATAACGGATACCATCTTCTGACAAATCTTTACAGGAACGTTATACCAAAATTTTTGAATATTTTCCCATAACTGCGTTTTGTTTTGGCATACCATCTTTTAAATCCCTCGCTTAAGGTCTTTCCAAAGGATCTTAATGGGATTGAGGTCTGGGAATTGACTTGGCCACTGTGATGATATTTCTACAAAAGAGGCATATTATCCTCGGTATATGGTAGCATTACCGTTTCCAACAAATCCTTGGACACGAATCTATCCATTTCCCTATCAATTCGATATAATAAACATACACCTTGCCACTAAAAACATAGCCATACCATTAAGCTGCCACCTTTATGCCTATGTAACACTTTTTTTTTATAGTTTGTAAATCCTTTTATTATTTTTTGACGCTGAAGTACATACATATGTTTATGTTGAAAACTAACTGAGTTTTTGATAAAAATTAAAATATATATGAAAGGCAAGCTAAAGTCGGGTGTCCCGACTTTGAAATACCCTGTACAATATGTGTAGAATAATTATGCGTGTATGTGTGTGTCTGCGTCTTTTGTGCCTATGCAAAGCAGTAACAACACTGCACTGCTTGGTCAGATACATATACATACATATGTACATTTATGGCTATAACTTAAATCGGCCTATCATTATGAAACTTGGTTCACGGATTCATAATCAGGAGGTATTTTCCGAATTTCAATGAAAAATTCCACGAAAATCAGTGACTACGGGGGAGTGGGGCGTGGGAGGGAAATTCCAAAATACACACTGCGCATTCACATAAGGCATCTTGAACTAAAATTTGGTGTCCCTAAGTGATGTGACCTCCGAGATATAGGTGACTATACAAACGGCGTTTCCGAAATTCCCCTATAAGGTTGAAGTTATTCGTTATTAGTTATTCATATAGCGTGTTGTGTTCAAACGGACGAACGGACAGACAGACAGGGCTAGATTCGCTCGTCTTCTCATGCTGATCAAGAATATATATACTTAGTGGGGCCTGCCATTCCCCCTTCTGCCTGTTACATTTTTCACCTCCCGCAAACCTTACAGAAGATACAAGCGGAGCTCAAAACAACAGCGAAATCGGCGAGCACACAGGCACTGCGCGCCACACAAAAAACTCTCTTGCAAAAATCGCTGGTCATCAAGCGCAAAAATGGAGAGGTACCCACAACTAGCAAAGTTGCCAAAACAGAGGACACACACAGCGGGAATTCCACCGCAAAGCCTGCGCCAGTTTCCATAACTACTACAAAGTATGATCAAGGCGGCCTTAAATGCATTGCCATACTACCAGGCATTGGTTCGTATACAGAATCGAGCGATTCTGAGGCAACAACGGAAAGCGACGACCTAGAGCACGATCACTGCACCCGGATGGACTTATGCGGCAGACAGATACCTAAAAAGAAACAACCATGTAACGAGTAAGGCGCGTGCTTAGTTTATAAAAAACAGTGTATTGGATTTTCACATATGTATTGAATTAAAGCTTAAAAATTATCGACTACGCGTCCTTATTTTTGCGATTGCGATTCTTTACATTGGTCATCTCATAGAAGTTGCTGCCAATTTTCTTTCGTTTCTGGCTACGCTCGAGCGCACGTTTTTGTTTTGCCGTTAACCGCGCCGCCTTGGCACTGCTTGGCCCTGCCCCTTCGTCATCGCTGTCAACCTCTTCATCAGAGTCCCCTGGGCGCACTTTAGCAACGCGAAATTTACCTGACGATGTAATAGCAAGTTGCTGTGGTTTTTTTGTCTTCGCTTTCTTATGCACCACCCGCTCCAGATCCTCATTGTACTCGTCCTCGGAGTAAAAATCACTAGCGCCATCGCTGGATTCTTCGTCATCAGCATTGACAAGCCGGTCCTTTTTACGCGCAGCCCGTTCTGCTTTCTGCTGCTCCAAGAGCTCCAAATCAATGTGGTCCAGTTCTCGTACATCCTGTTGCTCGTACTCCAAACCAACGCGAATTTTGCGAAAGTCCTGTATTTGCTTGAACTCACGGGCCTTTTTCACGGACTCACTCACAAATGTAGGCGCCTCCGATGTGGCATCACCATCTGGGGCGGTAGTAGTACTGCTATTGTTTTCAACCGCTTTCTCTTTATTCTGCTGAGACTTGGGCGTTTCAAAGCCTTCGGGCGGCACATAAAATGGTAGCTTGCCGCGCTGCCAGTCATTAAGCACCATGCATGCCGTCACTGTTATATCTGGTTCACCACCTTTCAACAATTTTCCCGTCTTCTTAGCTAATTGCTCCAGGAAATGCATTGATGAGGTCCAATTCTCAACTTTATAGTTCTTCGCTATGTACTCTTTGCGCACGCGCTGCAACACAGTTTCTACATAGTCTTCAGGATTTGTAACTAGCTCTACGCGTACAACGCCTTTTAGCACCTTCTCGGTATCTGTCTCAGCCGAAGGATAAACAACACCAGGACAATCAATTAGGAAAATACGCTTCATCAGCGTGATGTATTGCCAGACTTTAGTCTCCCCGGCAATAGGTGCCACATTACAAACCTTCTTGGAACGCAGAGCATTGATGACCGAAGATTTGCCTACATTGGGATAGCCGATGAAGCCAACACTGATTTGCTTTTTGTCTATGTGTAGTTTTCCCAGTTGCCGGAATAAATTGATAAGCGCGCCTTCAGAAATGGAAAATAAATAATTAGTTTAAAATCTATCAGTTTTATGATATTAAAACTAATTGATATATGTAAGAATAAAACACAGCATTTCTGATATCAATTTGTACCGAAACATATAAAAAAAATAAAACTCGCAAAACTTTCTGATAAAAATTTAAAACAATTTTTTCTGGTATTCGATCTCACGAAAAGGGTGTATAACTACATAGGACTTGTGTCTATGTGAGTCCATGCGTGCCTGTATGTGAGCATGTACTTATACATGTACGGGAAATCCCCGTTATCGGGGGAAAGGGATGATGAATCAAAAAATTAAAACAAATTAGCTCTTTTAGTCTCTGAGATTCAGCTTCTCATACGGACGGACAGACTGAGCTAGATCGACTCGTCTTGTCATGATCAAGAATATATGTACTTTGTGCGGTACGCCACGCCTCCTTTGCCTGTCACCTCCCGAAAACATAATATACATATGTATGTACTCGTGTACATTTCATGTACAGATTAGGATTGGGACTTGTGCTGACAGAATAAAATATAATCGATCCGTTATTATTTAAATATAAGTTGGGTACTTACCCTTGCCAAAGGGATGCTGCAGCGAAGCGTGAAATGCAATTGTTGGGTACTCCTTACTTAGTATGGCAACCCAACGTTGCGTTACCCAAACGGGCACCAAATCCACCTTATTAAGAATAAAAAACAAATGCTTGTGCGGCTTCTCCTTACGAAGAAACTCTTCAATATACTTGGAGCGCGTACCCATTGGATCACGCGCATCAAGTACTTGCAGCAGCACATCTGAGGCATCAACAACTTTATGAAGCTCGTTCCAAATGCGTTTGCTTTGACCAGCGGCAAATACCCAATCTCGCACAGTTTTTTTTTCACCTGTTTCTTCGCGAATCAAATCAATATCTTTATTGGAATCATAATTCGCGGCCTGTTCATCTGCTGTGCGGCTTAAGTCCTCTAAGTCGCGAACCTTCAAGCTAACACGCTTACGTTGTTTTTTCGGACCAAATACACTATCGAAGCTCTCAGTGTCGAGTAGATGTACCCGTTGGTACTTTGAAGCTTCGTTTAACAATGTTACCGGCAACTGCGAGGGCTTCATTATGACCTGATAAGGATCTTTAAAAGCTTTGCCAATCTCATCTTGAAACTTTTGCAATGCGTTTTGAGATATAACACGTGAATTACTAAACCACTTTGGTGTAGGTTCTACTCGTGCCATGGTACCGGATGCAAGGCGACCCTGAGGAGTTAGAGAGTTGATGGGATAAGTTGCTTGACTATGGGATTCAATCTTACCTGAAATGGAGCAGGGGTTAGAATTTTGCCTGTGCGATCGCGTTTGGCCTTGAAGTTTCTATACATCTGTAGCCGCTTTATGGTTCCCTTGGTACGTGGGTGGGCTACACCTTTTAGGCCTTCCTTTGGCCTTTCTGGGTTCATAGAGTGGTTGGAGTGATTGAAGCCCTGGGTACGGGGCTTGCCCGAAGTACTGCGGACCTTTGGCATATTGTTTTGATGCTTTTACACGGAATCAACGAAATTTTTTGTGCTGTTGAAGCAGCACGAACGCAATCAAAACAATCACGTTCAGAGAAAGAGGTTAGGGCTGATGTCAAAACAAGACTCCTATTATTACGTTACCAACACTACTTTTGATACAAGTGCTACAAATACGGAAAGAAACGTATTGTCTGGCAACACCATTTACATACACTGATGTCCATTAAAGTAAAATCCATAAAAAAATGAATATATAAATATTGAATTTAATCATGAAATAACATGCATTATTTGTTTTTAATAAAATAATAATAACCGTAAGCATGGAAGGAAAAGAAATTTCAATTATTTTCAGTATCAGTGTTTATCAACTAGAATTGCAATTGCCAATATTTAAAACCAGTACTGTATCAGAAACGAGCTCAAATAAAAGTATGTTTGTATTAGTTTAAATTCCATGATGGCCACGAGCTGCTCACAGGCTGCATTTCACAAGATAAAATACAAAAACGAAATACACATTTGTTCATCAAAATAAATGATAATGTGAACTAAATAGCGTTTAACAGTGCCCAGTAGTAATTAGTTTGCAATAGTCTTAATCGTTGTAGTTTTGGAAATTCGTATGTTTTTATAAGACAAGTGAGCAGCTTGTATACCACGCTTGTGTATATGTGTGTATTTGCTTACATACGTATGTATGCGTATGGCTACATATTGGAATGTCAAACGAAATTCAAATAGTGACCATCCTTGAGCTTTTTTTGTGATACAAATCAAAATAAAGCATTTAAAGCATGCAAACGTGATCAATGCAACTAAAATGGACGAGCACATGCTAAATGACCTGTTAGAATGTTCAGTTTGTCTGGATCGACTCGATTTTTCATCGAAGGTGTTGCCCTGCCAGCATACATTTTGCCGAAAGTGTTTGGTGGTAAGTTGATTATTGTAACAACATTTTGTGTTATCTCTACGTAACGGTTTCGTTTTCCATCTTAACAGGACATTTTGGCCAGTCAGAATAAGTTGCGCTGCCCAGAATGTCGCATATTGGTAGATCAATCTATCGATACGCTTCCGCCAAATGTATTGCTAATGAGAATTTTAGAAGGTATGTATGCGCGTTCGTGATTGCTAGTGTGTGTGAGTAGCCCACGCGGCCCCAGCCACTGGCAGTACAATCTACCCACGCTTATTCGATTTGAGCTTAAAATATCGGCAGTTGTTTTGTTGAATTAAATACAACGTATACTCTTTTTTTCCCGCAGGCATGAAACAGAATGCCTGCAAAAATGACAATAATCGTGAAGAACACCAACAAATACAGCAACCAAGCAAGGCCAAGGAGACGGCTACTCCACTGGCTCCCACATATCAGCCATCGCAACAACAACCGTCGCAAGCACGCCAAAAGCCCCGCCGTTTTTTACTACCGCACGCCTATGCCCTTTTTGATTACACCTCTGGAGAAGCTAAGGATTTGAAGTTCAAAAAAGGTGATTTGATTTTGCTGAGGCATCGGATCGACAACAATTGGTTTATGGGCCAAGCAAACGGGCAAGAGGGTTCTTTTCCTATAAACTATGTGAAGGTGGTCGTGCCATTGCCCATGCCGCAGTGCATAGCCATGTATGATTTTAAAATGGGTCCCAACGACGAAGAAGGCTGTCTAGAATTTAAGAAGAGCACTGTAATTCATGTTTTACGACGTGTCGATCATAATTGGGCAGAGGGACGTATTGGACAAACGATCGGTATATTTCCAATAGCATTTGTGGAGCTCAACGCCGTAGCAAAAAAGTTGCTCGAAAGTACGCAGCAGCCTCAACCACAATCGTGCCACCAACAATTGACGCATCGTGCTTTACCGCCTGTGCCCTTAATTGATCCGACCGTTGAATCGAATTCATCCTCGTCAAACACAAACTCACCCAACGCCACCACTGGCAGCAGCAGTTCAAGCTCCAGTTCTAACTCTACCAACTGTAGTCCGAATCATCAACCATTACCAAATTCGTGCGGCTCCGTGCGTTATCGTGACAAGGGAGCAAAGGAAAAACGCCATTCGCTAAATGCTTTACTTAACGGGGGCCTTGGTCAGGCGGCTCCACTAAGTCTACTGCAAACAAATCGCCATTCTGCAGAAATACTTAGCTTACCGCATGAACTAAATCGCCTAGACCTGACATCAACATCCTCGTCGTCCTCATCCTCGATGACGACCATAACGCCTACGTTAGCCAATCAGCTACCGACATCTCGGATACTTAAGACACACGTACAACAGCAGATGCCCCCTACTCTGCCCTGGGGCTATTTGGCACTATTTCCATATAAACCGCGTCAGTCTGATGAGCTGGAGTTAAAAAAGGGCTGTGTTTACATTGTAACAGAGAGATGCGTGGACGGTTGGTTCAAGGGAAAAAATTGGTTGGACATAACTGGTGTATTTCCTGGAAACTATTTGACGCCTTTGCGAGCTCGGGATCAACAGCAGTTGATGCATCAATGGAAGTATGTTCCGCCAGCTATAGATGTGAAGAACTCGGCTCAGAGTGAGACACAACAACAATCGTTGGATGTCCGTCTTAGCAATGCGTTGCCCACCCAACCACCGGACTTGCCGCCGCGCCAGCAGCAGCCACAGCAGACGAGTGCCAATGTTTCAACAAGCTGTTCGGTGTGGGCAAAACCAGTGGAGGCCCTCTTCAGTCGAAAGTCTACTGGTGGCGGTACAGAGGCCAAGGTAGAAACATCAGCGTCTTGTAGCTCTGGAGCCGTGGGCCTAATGCGTCGTCTAACGCACATAAAAGCACGGTCCAAGTCGCCAGGGGCGCCACTGCAGCAACCACCTAAGGAAGTGACGCCATTAGAATCGACGCACGAAGGGTTGACTAAAAAGGCCACGAAAATTCAACCAGTCCATGTTAGGTGAGTTATTTCCAATCTTTTAAAATTAAAAGCTAACTACTAGAATATCAATGTCATTTATATAATTTTCCCATGAAACTTCACAATTATGATTGTCCAATTGAAAAATCCCTTCTTGGAAAACTGCTCATTATTATTATCACTTTGGGCATAAACGATAATTATTAATATCAGCGTTGTAATGAATACATTTATTTTCGTAGATTAAGAGGTAGACACCAAATTTTAGTTCAAGTCGCAATTAGTAATTTTCCATATCATAATTATACTCTGTACATGAAATGTACAAGAGTATATTAGGTTTGCGGGAGCTGAAAATGTAACAGGCAGAAGGAGGCGTGGCAGATCCCACAAAGTATATATATTCTTGATCAGCATGACGAGACGAGTCGATCTAGGCCTGCCTGTCTGTCTGTCCGTATGAACACCTGGATCTCAGAGACTATAAGAGATAGAGACACCAAATTTTGCACAAAGATGCCTTATGAGTGCATTCTATACGAGTTTGTGGATTTCCCCCCCCCCCCCCCCTTCCCTCCTATGGGGGTTTTCCCGATTTTCCATTCGTATTAGCGCCTATATCTCGGAGACTATAAGACCTAGGGACACAAAATTTTAGTCCCAGATGCCTTATGTGAATACGCAGAAAATGTGTATTTTGGAATTTCCCCCTCCCCTGTAAATCGTAACTCCCGTAATTCTTGGAATTTCGAACTTGGTAAATACCTCCATTTAGTTATTATAAGTCCAAATGCCAAGATTCATCATGATAGGCCGATTTAGCAGGAAGTTATAGCCAATAATGTACATAAGACCAAGTAGTGCCTGCAGCTGTTGTTGTTGTTACTGCTTTGCTCAGGCACACGAGACATACACAGACACACACAAATACACGCATAATTATTCTACACATATGTACAGAGTACTTTCAAGTCGGGATACCCAACTTTAGCTTCTCTACTTCTTTTTATGAGTCTTTGGCATACGGACACATAATATCTAACTGGAGGTATTTGCTAAATTTGAGAAAAATTTAAGCATAGGTCAATTTGATAGGAAGTTATAGCCATTAGAGTAATCTCTAATTGTTATTGCTGTTTTGGCTCACCTCTGTATTGCATAGACTCACATCGACACATTTCCTAGTTTAGTGCAAATGTAACATGATGCGTGGCAGACCCCACAAAGTATATATATTCTTCATCAGACAACAAGACGAGTCAATGTAGCCAAGTCTGCCTGTCTGTATAAACGCAAGGATCTCAGAAGGTGGAATTACAAAACTTGGTTCCCCTACGCCCTAGGCAAATTAAGTTCGTATATTGCCACACAATTTGATCAAACTTGGTTGAGCGGTTTCAAAGTCTATAGGGATCATACATATATAAATACCTCCATCTGTTATATTGCTTACAACTTTAGTCCCACTTAAAAGTTGTTGTTTTTTTTCTGAATTGATCATATTCTTGATCATTATTATTTAAACATGCTTCTACAGAATATTCATAAAAAATATTCTTTAATCGACAGATCCGGCTCATGCCCCAGTCAACTGCAGCTTAATGAAGCAACCGCAGCCACAACAATAGCTCCATTAGCAGGAACGGCCAATTCTCCTGGACAATTTCAACCTCAACATATGCCAGCCAACGCTACAGTTTCGTATGGCTCGCAGCGCGTCAAAAACAGCAAGGAGCGACCGCATTTAGTTTGGTAAGAAATCTTTTTTAATTTTACAGCAACATCTAATTGGATTTTTTTAGTTCACGCCAATCCCTGGATGCTGCCACCTTTCGGAATATGTACCCTGCTGCGTCACCGCCCCCGCCGGCCACGGCAACGCTCTATGTCCAACCACAAGTGCAGGCAACTCAGTTGCATACCAATATGATTATTTCGCCCAGCCACCGCAAGTCACACAGTCTTGATGCGGGCCACGTGCTTTCCACCAGCAATGGCGCCGGAAACGCTATAACCGAGGCGGCAATTAAGGCAAGCGCTACCACCAAGTCTACGCACTGTACGCGGGAAAGGTTTGTGTAAGTCATTGTTCCTAATTTAGTAAGCTAATCCAATTTTTTTACAGTCGATTTCGCTGCATCGTTCCCTATCCGCCCAATAGCGATATAGAATTGGAGCTGCATGTCGGTGACATTATTTACGTGCAGCGGAAGCAGAAAAATGGTTGGTACAAAGGTACACATTCAAGAACGCACAAAACTGGATTATTCCCAGCCTCGTTTGTAGAACCGGACATTTAGCATTGCTTCTATATTGTGAAACACCTAATTTGATTATCTAAACTCCTTCAATCGCCGGTCGATTTGTGCTTCCAGGACTGCAATCACTCTTTTCGAAAAAGAATTTTTTAACGTCACAACCAACGGCTGCCAAATGAAGAGCTCGCCTTTTTTACGATTTTTAAAACAAGTAGCATAGAATAGCCGTAAGCACTCGAAACAAGTTACTTAATTTAGATAGCAAAAAAAAAAACGGATATGAAAGTATTTTAAACGTAGTATTAAGTCTGTTGCATAGCGATATGAAGAAGTCACTCCTCCACTTTGCTAGCGACCAGAAAACTAACAATTGTTAATAAGTGTAATCATTTTATATGCGTACAGCTTAATGTACCAAGCTATTAAAATAAGATTTTGAGAAATAACATTTCCCACGAAAAAACTGTGTTCTCTTTGTTGAAATTTACTTTTATTCACTTTATCTAGTTCAAAATGATAGATTATTCGCTCTTATCAAACTTTGAGCCATAGATTGGCATATACTGCAGGATTAGTTTCCAGTCTGTGTAATACAGCAGAGCTAGACCAGCTGCGCCTCCAAATCCGACGCCGGAACGGACGCTATGCAGAAATAAAAAGGAACAATTTAAATAAACGCAGACATCCGCGTTATGCAACGTAGTGGTTTTCATTCGACGATGCGTGCGATTTGTGGTTAACATTCGACACATACATAACCATTTACTATACTTACAAGGACGTCGCGATCTCAGCGTGTTTCTTGCCAAAAGGTATGCGCATTTTGTGATTCTTACAGCAAGTTTTCTAATTTATTGACTTTTCTGCCCACGAATTGTGGTAAGTGGCTATCTGCCTCTTGTTAAATGTCAGAATGTCGGAGCTGCCGGACTGTTGTTAAAAGTCAACAAATCTGTGTTTAATTGTCAGCAAAGAGAAGTGCCTACGTGATTGTCAAATGGACTATTCGTCATCACCTGTGTTTTCCTTTCTATTTTTTTAATTTACTCAAAATAAACATGAAGGTCTTCGCTTTCGGCGAACTGAACACATTCGAGCTGTTTGTCTTGCTCACTGTGATTCCAACTGTATTTTCTTATTTATGGTATTTAATTGGTGGTGATATTTTGGTAAGACTGTTGCGCTGAGATTTATACATATGTATGTATGTATCATATTTTAAGGCTAATAAAACTTTTTAATACAGAACTTTGAAAGCAGCAAGCTCTCCTATACAATATACACCGCACAAGATCCTGTGAATTGCTATCAGGACTATGAGAGGAAGGAAAACACTAATGCATATTAGTGAAATAATAATCTGTTACTTCTGCATATTAGTGAAATAATAATCTGTTACTTCTGCATATTAGTGAAATAATAATCTGTTCGCGTTTTATTTGTATTTATTATGAAAGAATAACAAATTCTATATAAATATTTGTAAATCTGATAAAATTTTAAAATTAAAATTGATATACATATGTATGCAACTATTCTTGTTGATCAAGACACCGGCTGAAGGGTTTGGGTTAGTAACCTGGCAACTCTTGTTCTGCCTTGTGAATGTTGTGCTAAACTTCCGTCTGTAAAAAAATAAATATATGTATGCACGTATACCGAGTACAACAGAGGAAATTTTTGTTTTTTAAGTAATTTGGTTACAATTTGATTAAGTTCCTGGCAACTCTATGTGTTCTGTTGCATTGCGAATGGTAGCGAAACTTCAATCTATAGAAGAAGAAGAGACAGAAAGTGCAACTTGAAAGAGTTTTGTGTTTTAAGTAATTTTTACACAATTTGAACAGCATTTATGTAGGTTTTAAACTGTTAAAAAATAAGAACGATAGTGCTCTTTTAGAAGATATCAAGTGCACATCAATATTGCCTTATTTAATTGTGGCATTAAACAAAGCCAGAAAAAAAGGAATCTGCAGTACGACGCAAAAACAAAAAATGTCTGAAACATACGGTAATTAGTTAATTATAAAGCTCGTCCCTATAATGTAAATTGCCTTTATTTATCTCAATATTTGACCCAGACTATCTGTTCAAGTTTTTGATAATTGGCAGCGCAGGCAGTGGAAAGAGTTGTTTGTTGCATCACTTCATAGAGAGCAAATGTAAGTGGAACTTCAATGCAAAAATTACACGCATATGTACATATGAAACGTAGATATATGTAAATGGGTAAAAATATACACCTGTAATTGAACTATGCTTACAGTCAAAGATGACAGCTCGCACACGATTGGCGTTGAGTTCGGTTCCCGCATTGTCAACGTAGGCGGTAAATCGGTTAAGTTGCAAATATGGGACACTGCTGGGCAGGAGCGCTTTCGCTCCGTGACACGATCATACTATCGGGGCGCTGCAGGAGGTAATAATTAAATACTATACCCAGTTGTGATGTGACTTGAACGTGTATTTTTTTAAAGCACTGTTAGTTTATGACACAACTTCCCGAGACTCATTTAATGCTCTATCTAATTGGCTTAATGATGCTCGCACGCTGGCCAGTCCTAACATAGTTATATTACTGGTGGGAAATAAAAAAGACTTGGACGAGGCACGCGATGTTACATTTCTGGAGGCGAGCACTTTTGCGCAGGAAAATGGTAAGCGTGCACAACCTATACTAGTTTTAAAAATTTGTACTATTTTTTTATTTTCCAGAGCTAATATTCTTAGAAACGAGCGCGAAGACAGGCGAGAACGTGGAAGAAGCTTTTCTCAAGTGCTCGAAAACAATTCTAGCCAAAATTGATACAGGCGAACTCGATCCGGAGCGCATTGGTAGCGGCATTCAGTATGGCGGGCCCGCGCTGCGTAATTTACAAACGCGACAGCGTAGCATCAACAAACCAGACTGCGGATGTCGAGTGTAGAAGTTGAAACTTGAATTTGCACTCGAACAATTTCTGTAGATTACGTTAAGCGAGCAAGTTAATCTCTTTTAATACCTAACGATTGTAGCGCTAAATATCTATATTTGTCTTTGTGTATGTAGACAGGCAATGAAAACCTTTTTGGTCAATCTCTACTGACTATACTGTGTTTCTAAAACTGCAACATCAATTTGTTTTATCTATACATTTATTTTATTTCATTGTTTCTGTTTTTGTGCGAAATGTAGCATTCCAAAATTTTAGATTAATTTTGTTTTAGTATTCGTGTGTATTTTAACGCTCATGGCCTTATGTGTGCATTTGTTTGAATCTTCAATGCTTATTCTGTTTATTAGGATTTTCTGTATACAATTTAAGCACTAAAAATACAATGAAGAAAACTTAATATGTTTTCCAAAGCGCGCTCTCGGGTGTACGCTGGGAATGTCTAACACTCGTGTTGTACTAACGATAATGTAAATATATAAGAATGTTGAAAGCTGAGTTTATGCACGCGATCAATAAAAAACGCAACTAAACAATTTGATTCCTTGGGGCCCCTCTTGCTGTTGGCTTTCACTCAACTCTGTCCTGTACTGCAATATACACAGACAACGCTTTCCTTCCTTCTTTTTCTCTACAAAAAGTTCTTTCATAAAAATAATCAAAGATTAAATGATTGTCTATTTGAAGCTAGTTATGATGATTTATCAAACAAATCATTTGCTCTCGCATATACATTTGGAAGACTCTTGTATTTTTATTTTACATACAATTAAAAGTTTTTGTCAGCTTGTACATAGGAGGTGTAGGAGTTTAATTGACTTTTGTGCAAATTCTTTCTTGATCTGGAACGCACCTGCTGGGCCTGCAATCAATTTGAAAATTTGTCTTTACTTTTCCTGTGGGCACATTCGCTTTGCTTATTGGGCATGTGTTATTATATTTAGGCAGTATATATCCTTCTTATACCCTTCACTCAAAAGTGTAAGGGTATATTGTTTTTGGTGCAAACAAGAAATTAGGGACCGCAAATAAGGATTTTTTTAAACAAACAAATCATTCACTTATAGGAACTATAAGAAAATGAGGATTATACCAATATTCTTCATTTAGGATTATCTATGCATATTTGTTATGATTTCGAAACTTTTAATGATGGTATATTTGGGCCAGTGACCTACAATTTTGTTTTCTTCGTTTAAGGAAAACTTTCCCGTTGAGACACATGATGATATCGCTAGCATTATAAGTGTAATACGAAAGAGTCAACGACAAATCTTAGATCAAATTTCAAATCAAAGACGCTAAATGGCTGGATGAGAATACGCGCAAGGGTTCACTTTTGAAGGAGTTTAAATTACAGTCGCGTATAGAAATCTTAAAGGATCTAGATCTAGCTGATGTTTATTTAGCAACAATGGAGGACAAGTTTGTTTATTTAGGGTAAAGGTGACATGTTTGCACTTTTGCTCGTTTACATGTATGCGCCAGTCTGCTAGCCATTATTCTATGGCCACGAGGTGAGATGATAAGAGTTCTATAGCTCTTGTTGGGCACTTGGAGCGACTTAGGATGGCAGTATCATCAGCATGTCGAATATCGAAATTGTTGTATGACTGTTTGTCGGTATATCTGCTGTGTATATGATATACAGTGTCGGTCCAAGCACGCTTCCTTGGGGTACAAATTTCAACCAAATCGCCAAATTCCAAGAAAAGTTATTAGCAAAACAAATTCACTCCGAAAACACATTAAAAATATGGAAAAATAGGGAAAAATGTATACATTTAAAATAATAATAAAACAATTTTGAAAAATATGATTTGTGATTGTGGACATCTTGAAGGTGAAATTTAACAATTTGAAATTTTGTTTTCGTACATCAATGATAAATTTTTGTATACATACTTTGTATACATACTCCCTTGAAAAGCTTTTATTTATACATCATTATCCATCTTCAAAGCAATCCCCCTTAGATATAATGCACTTATACCATGGCACTTAGGGCTCCCTGCGACTTTTTCCTATTCCCAAAACTGAAGAGACCAATGAAAGAAAAGCGTTTTGCCACAATTGAGATAAAATCAAAATCGAAGAACGAGCTGATGGTCATACCAAAGCCATACCGAAAAGCGGATTTCAGAAGTACTTCCAGTACATCAGAATCGAGTCTAAGCGTTGTTATGGGCGTGTATGTGTGCACGGCAGAATTAAGGCAGCAACGGCGACAGCTGCGGGCAGAGAAATGTAAAAATGCCGACATTTTTGTGCAGCAATGGTGCTGTTATGGAAATTCTGGCCAGAATGCCTTCAAGCACTAAATAGCCTCGGGTGATAAAATCATTCCCAATATTATAATGCGATGTGCATTTATCGTATATTAATAGTGCCTAGTAATTGGATAAATGTCAACCAAAACGTTGGCACCAGGATTGCCGTCAAAAAATGATTGAAAAATGCGATAGAAGCAATAATACTTGCACTTCAAAAACCAATCAAAAAATTATAATTTTTTAAAAATGATTATTTAAAAAAATACAAATAGTAAAATATATAATACGTAAAAATTGAAAAATAGATTTTTTTAAAAAATTAACTTAATAAAAATATATATAAAATATACTTCACGTTTGTAAAAATATTCGGGAGCAAATAGTATGTGTACAGTTCAGAGTTGAGACAAAGCAGCAACAACAACAGCTGCGGGCAGATATTATATTTATAGCCGTTACTTTCTTTGCAATTCCTAACGTAATGCAAGCAACATAACATGAGCACACATATGCACTAACCGGATGTAATTGCTAAATTTGAGATAAAAATTCGAAGAATTGCAGGAGTTTTGGAAAACCGTTAATAAAATCAAGAGAGAACGCTACAGTCGAGGAAGCCCTCCGTCACAGAGTTATATGCGCCCTTAGCAGAAGCAAAAAGAAGAGGCAACTTGCTGCTGCAGCTTGCGGGCGAAGTACTAGAGTGAAATTGTTTCGCTGATGACTATTCTTAGAATTGACCGATTTAAATTAAATTAAATTATAAAATAAAACCAAAGTATATAATTATATATTGATTACGTGTGTAAACATTAGTTTATGTAGCTTTTGAAATGTGGGGCATTGACAAAATTCTGTAGCGGCAAGGGGGGGAGGAGCTTGGTTAATGTGCGCTTAGTAGTTTCCGAAATCCAGGCGTTCATTCACGCGGACAGACGGACAGGTGGATCGATTTCTCTCATACTAATTAAGAATATATATACTTTATGGGGTCGAATGCTTTGCACAAACCTAATATACTCTTTCTACCCTATGCGTACAGGGTATAACAAGTGCAACTGTTGCATATAGATTGGTTATGCTTCGCATTTTGCCAGTTTCTGTAACGCATGCTTCGCCGCCGCAAGCTTGGCCTGATTCGAGTTTGTGCCAAAGCCATGCACCTTCATGGTCCTGTCTATGCAAGTGAATTGGCAACAGACCATTACCATGTTCTGATCCACGATCGGCTGAGTAAACTGTGGATTGGCCACCTTATGCTCGAATAGCTGACGGATTGGATTGATAGGCACGTTACGTGAGAATTCCACTAGTTCGGGTTCAAACAATTTGTAGATCACCTGCCAGGTGGTTTCCAGACTACGGCAGTCCAAATATATGGCTGCTATTAAGGCCTCCACAACATCGCCAAGAGCCTTGGGTACGTCAACATTATGTGCCAAATTGAATTCCCCAATCGCAGTTGGAGCAGCGTCACCGCGACGACTTCCAGCAGAGTTTGTCTCGAGAACCAAGTCCTTCTCAAGATCTACCTCCTCATCGCTGTCCAGCGGCACAGGCTGCACGTCACTCTCTTCCATCAGAATGCGCACGTGGTTTGTAACGCGATGACCCTGTGACTCTTGGAATTCAGCAAAGTTCTTCACGGACTCCGAGAGAAGCGCGTTTTCCGCCAATATAAAAAAATGGAAACGGTGACGCACGCATATGCATGCAAGAGTGGTGTTATTAACCAGTGCTGACCGGAGATCTGTCAGCTGACCGGGAGTCATGCGTGTCTTGTGCTCGAAGATGTACGCTGATATCAAAAAATCCAGTATTGCGTCGCCAATGAACTCTAGCTCTTGATAGCAGCCAGTCAATCGGTTCGTAGGAAAAGAAGGATGCGTCAGTGCTTGAAGGAGGTAAGCACGATCGCGAAAAGTATAGCCCAGGTTGGCCTCCAGGAATGCATGGTTTAGCAGGAAAGCGTCGACCTCACGAGCTGTAATGTTTGTGCGAATGCGGTCACTACCAAGTTGCAGGTCGAGCAACTGCGTCAGAGGCTTCCCTATGTCTGGCTTGCATATGCCAAAGTACTCGAGCATGCGAAAGCCGTGCTGCAGTCCATAGTTCTTCACGATCACTCCCAGAAGCGCCTCTAATGTGTCCGCCACCACCTTGTCCGCCAGTTGATGTTGGTGCACCAAAAAATTAATGTCCGCGTGGAAGTTTTGGCCCGCATGATGCGTGTGCTTATTGGCTTGACAGCTTTCAATGAAGTTCCGATAATTATCTGCGCTGCATTCGCCGGAACCGTTGATCTCATTATCGCTAAGCACAAGATCCCTCAAGTTGTGCGGCCCAATTAGAGCTGCAATCTGAGGCTTCTTTGTCCATATGGCACGAATGTTGTGGGGTAGACTTGTAGAAGGCGGAAGCCACGTGTACTTCGGGGTAAACACAGAGTTGCAGATGCAATGTGGTATGTCTGTTTCTCTCAAGCAGTAAAGAAGATTGCGGTTGGAGACCAGCGCTGATTTTACTTGCGTTAATATGCCCTCGTTCCAGTCCGGATACTTATTGGCTAGATAGAGCGTGGCACTGAGCTTAAGAAAACAATCGCCGAGAAGTTCGAGGCGTTCCATGTCGAAAACATCGACGCTGCCGGCAGACGTGATTGCGGCCATAAATTCGCATTGTTCTGCTGGAATAATGCTTTCATTGGACATACTGCGTTTTAATACAGAGAGAGAACATAAATTCTGGGACGATGAGGGCATTAAGGCGGGCACTGATGCACTTATACTGACCGGTGATGACTGGGTGGTGTATACGTTGCTCTTTGGCATTTTAAACTGCGTTTCTGCCCACAACTGTTTATCAGCTGTCTCCAGCTTATCTAGCTTTATAAGATCGCCACTGGTGAAGCGACAATAGTAGCTTAACTCAACTGGATAACTGATCATCATTTTGCGTTCCAAGTCAATCGGCTGCATATAGTTCTGCCAAGGTATATTCAGATCTTCGATTTCCATCTTTTCGGTAGAGTCCTCAATCACTTTAGTGGGCAACGGCTCTAACAGCGACTTAGGTTCCTCGAACACCTCCCCTGCTATCGCATTGCCTACTTCGTCAACGTTCCGCCGCAGTGACAAGTCAATAGCCAAAGGTTGTGGGCGATACAACTCTCCATTCACTGGAATGCTATCAAGCCCCAGATATTTATTAAAGCGCACGCGTAATGCCTCCCCATGCAGCATGAATGTGAGGCGACGCAAAATACTCGGCAAAAAAAGCAGCTTTACCCACATGGTGCCCGGGAAGTGAAAGTTGAAACAGAGTTCTGGAATTAGGAGCACCTTTGCGCGAGCCTTGGCCAGTGCGGACGATTTGCCCCGTTGGTTCACATAGAAGTTGAGCCGATCCGTCAACTCCCTCACCTCCAGGAGGAACTGCGTCTTGTGCGCAACGTCTTCAATGTTCTCCTTGTATTTGGACATTGTGAAATCATAGTAGCTCTTGTCTTTTTGTTTGTCCTCCATCATGCTCATAGGCGTCAGCTCTGTGTGCACCTTAGTCACTAGCATACGCTTGTGCTCATAGTTGGCGTACCACTGAGTTACAACCTTGCCCTCAAAATCTTCGGCCTTGGGAAGCGCTTGCTTTCTGCGTTCTGCGAGGCCGTACTTTCGAGGTGCGGGCAGACTCTGGAACCTCGCCACCATCTCCATGTCAATTCCGCCACCCTGTGTTGCCAGCGGCACCACAAGATATGAGTGTTCCTTGCTACTCCGATCCAGCACAAAGAATGGCTGCCAGATGCGAAGCAGGTCTCGAAATATCATCATATGGAAGCGTTGCACTTGCTCCAGTTCATCGGCGCTATTGATGCACAGCACCTGAGGTTCCTCCGCAACTTTTACAGTCAATTTACCTTGGTTGCTAAATAGTGGCATCTCTGCGAGGCGCGGGAGTCGTTTGCGCAATAACAACGCGTAGTTGCCGCCTTTCTGCAGATGATCGTGCATGTGGGCCGTGTAATCGTTGCGCTCAAATTGCGGACACAGACTGATCTCATAAGCGTAGCACGGTTCGGCCACGCGAGGTTGTGCATCATACATTTCGCTAGGGCAGGAGCTTGGATAACTAAGTTCTTGCTCCTTTTGTGCCTTTTCCTTACGCTTGATGGTCACTGGTGAAAAAAAAGGGATCATCATAAATATTTTGTAGATTTTGAAATCCTTGAGAGATCTAATATTTGAAACCATCTATCTGCCCTTCGGAAGTTCGATAGAATTTACATACATACTTGTATGTATGTATGTATGTATGTATGTATGTGTAGGAATCTTCAAAAAACATTGACGGTTAAAATGTACGTATACACATTTATAACAGAGTTTGTCCGGATGGGTAGTCAACCCGTCTAAATTAGTTATACAAGTACATTCGGATAAGAAATACGATGCAGTTCTGGAAAATTCTAATCTTAATTTGGGAAAACCTTCTTAGTGCTTGCATACACTATGAAACGATATTTAGACCAAACTTCAGCTTCCTAGCTCTTACCGATGGGGCTGTTATATATATATATATATACAGTGGACAAAAAAGTTTAAGTACACCTAATAAAAATACATTATTTGTTTGAAAAAATCTAGTTTAACATACATATATCCTTGTTTTTTGTTTACCTTATATTTAAGGCCACCATTTTATTTTAGTCTGCCCCAAAAAATTCTACGAAATATCTGTATAGGACGCAGTAGCCACGAAAAAGGAAGAAATGGCTGAAATTCACACCAAAAAAGTACATTCTTCTTTCTTTAGCTTTTCCGTCGATATGTCTGCAAAAATATTCGTGGGCTCCGATTTGCTTTTTGGTATGACCTATATGCTTGTAGTTTTGTGATTTGTAATATCATTTCTGTTGCAAATTTATCAGGGAATAGTCATTATGGGTCGCGGTTATGAAATTTGGCTTGAGACCCGTCCAATTATCTTTAAACTGTATGTAGAAGACAAAATTATTCATGATATTGTTAAAATAGTTTGTAGGGATCCATTGAGTGCAAAAACATTAAAAAGTTCATATGGAAACTTTTGAACTTTGAAAGTAAAGCGTCTGGCCGTCCAAAAATACTGACCGCAAGAGTTGAACGCCAAATATTGACTGGAGTAAAAGCGGACCCCAAGTAATAGGCCTCCAAAATACAGGAGGAAGCATTCCGAAGCTATGGTGATACAGTTCATGGTCAAACAATTCGAAATTTCTTCTACAAGCGTGGGTATAAACCACGAACCCTGCAAAAATACGTTAGTATGGAAACCTAACAGAGAGAAGAGGCTACAATTTGCCCTAAGATATGCAAATCAGTCAGGTTCGCTTTGAAATAATGTGGTATGGACTGACAGATATCAATACAACATTTTTGAATCGGGTGGTGAACACCAATTGTGGAGAAAGACCAATGAAGCCAAAAACTTAAAAAATATAACTCCAACTGTAAAGTATGGTATGGTAAAATATAGTGGTGTGTGGGTATATGGCCTCATCTGGACTGGAAAAGCTCGTGGTTATTGACACTAATATGTACAAGGATTTGTTCTTAAACATTTTGAAGGGAAATCTTTCACAAAGTGCGTCAAAATTTGGTTTAGACGTGAAATGTTTTGTTGCTTCAGCGATAATAATAATCCATAACACGGCCCGTATCTCGTTAAAGAATGGCTTCTTTATAATTTTGAACAGCTGCGTACACCCCCTCAACACCCAGATATAAGTCCTTTCGAACAAATTTGGAATTTGTTGGGCAAAGGGAATCGGAAGGATAATATTATGTCGAAGGATTCGCTAAAGACAATATCATTGAATAAGTCGGAGAAAAAATGGGAAAACGACACCCAAGTTTCAAAGAAAAGTATGCCTCTACGCTTATAAACAGTAATTGCTGCGAAAAAACGTTTAACTAATTGCTAATATCGCTAAAATATAAATATTTAGCTAAGATTTGGCTGTATTGTATTTTCAATCATATTTCCATACTTTTTGATCGCATAAGTAAGGGAAAAGTACTGTTGTGTTAATAAATATAAGGCCAATCATAATCTGAAGACTTTGGGATCATTTTTTGTTCGAAAAGTTACTAATTTTATCGAATATTCTTTAAAAACCAAAGTGTACTTAAACTTTTTTTGTCCACTGTACTTGTATATGTATGTACAGATTTAAAAGTTACTAATTTTATCGAATATTCTTTAAAAACCAAAGTGTACTTAAACTTTTTTTGTCCACTGTACTTGTATATGTATGTACAGATTAACTTTCGATTGGATATTAGAAATCTAATATTGTAAAGGTTGTTGTCCTATGTGCCGTGTTACATAACTTGTACGATCGTGGATAACCAAATGTGATATTACTTGGTATATTTGATGAGAATAGTTTATAAACGGACATATTGGCGGTCTATAACGGTGGAGAAAAAACGCGCATGTTTAAAATAGGAAATGATATATAGCTTCGGTACAGCGACTACAACTTCTTATTTCTTATATCTTCATATCTCGATATGCGATAGACATGTTTTATTTGAAAAAATTCTGCACATATTAAATATTTATCGAGGCAAAGCTATGAGATTTAAAATTGAATTTTAAAGTTACATTTAAGAATTTTGTGGCCCGATTACTTACCGCTGTCGCCATATTTCTTCCAGTGTTCGAAATGCACATCTGCTATGGCCTCGACCCGTTCCTGGACTGTCGTGGGCAACAAATGCTCATTGAATTCGCCTAGTTCGTGTAATTTAATGCATGTTTTGAAGGCGGCCGATATCTTTGCCCATTTGGTACAATTCATGGGGTCGCTCTGTGTAAAAATGCGTATTAGTCTTGGCTCTATACTTGTATTAGAGATAAAAAACCCTATCACTTACATAGATCGTCTCGCGCAGCAACGAGGTTAGTGGCAGCGTAACGGACACAATTTCCTTGTTGCGTCCCTGGTTTGCATCAGGCGGTAGTCGCTCGAACCAGGGAAGCACAATGCCAAATGCGTCTACAGGTAACTGCTGGCAGTACCTATACAGGAGTGATAACGCACTAGAGGGTAGAAGCAGGGCGCCGTTGGAATTTATGTATGGCTTGATTACATCCTGGAAGTGCTCTTCGATTTCGTAATCTTGTGGTTCACGCTCCAAAACGCGTTGTTTTAGATATGCTGCTATCTCAATATGCGCCTCACGATACTGCTGTAATCGCTGGGACATCTTATCTCTATCTCCCTGCGAGCAGAACATCACGAACACGGCATCCTTAGACCGTGCTCGTCCCTTTGTCTGCACATACATGTTGAATGTTTTTAGTTGGTCTAGAATGAGCACATAATTGCAGGCCTGCACATCGATGCCCTCTTCCAGAACGCTGGAGCATACCATGAGATTGCATTCGCCGTCCCGAAATTCTTTAATTGCCTATTAAGCGAAATAATTTCATTGAAAGCCAAGGAATCTTTTCTATGGATATTATGACTATAGTTATTTTAGGCTGAGTCAGAGGACATTCTACAACAGTTGAATGACAAGAAATTAATGTTGTAATGTTGCCTCTTACGCATACACGCTTGCGGTATTAAGCGTCTTAAAAATAAACAAATAACAAGTAGAGAAGGTAAAGTCGGATGTCCCGACTTTGAAATACTCTGTACATATGTGTAGAATAATTATGCGTGTATGTGTGTGTCTCGTGTGTCTGTGCAAAGCAATAACAACAACAACAGTTGCGGGCACTGCTTAGCCTGTTAAATCGGCCTATCATTATGAAACTTGGCCTACGGACTCATAATAACTAACTGCAAGTATTTTCCGAATTTTAATGAAAATTTCCAAGTAATACGGGAGTTATGGAAAATCAGTGATTGCGGAGGGAGGGAGGTAAATTCCAAAATATACAATAAAAATTGGTATCCTTAGCTCTTATAGTCTCCGAGATGTAGGCGATTACACGAATGGAAAATCTGGAAAACCCCCATAGGGCGGAATTGAGGGGGGAAGGGAGGAGAATCAAAAAAATAAAACAAACTTGCACAGCGTACACACATAAGGCATCTTTATGCAAAATTGTTATACCCTGTACCCAAAGGGTACAAGGGTATATTAGTTTTGTGCGAGTGTACATGGAACACACAGAAGGAGGCGTGGTAGACCCCATAAAGTATATATATTCTTGATCAGCATGACAAGCCGAGTCGATATAGCCATGTCCGTCTGTCTGTATGAACGCAAGGATCTCAGAAAGTATAAGAGCTAGAATAACCAAACTTGGTATACAGATTCTGCTGAGCCCGAGAAAGGACTAATTTTTCCCAATGCACCCCCCCCCCACTCCCCCCCTATTCGGAATTTTCTATAACTCCCGTAATTTTTGGAATTTTGAACTAAAATTTGGTAGACACATCCAGATAGTGATTATATATCCGTATACTAAGTTTCATTTTGATAGGTTGATCAGAAAGAAATTTATAGCCTTATAACCCGGCTTAATGCACACATACATACATATGTACAAGTATACAAACACGCATAGATTCTTATTTAAATGTATGTATGGATGTACGGTATATTTTATATTTAATTTAGTTAATTAATTAGATTAAATTAATTAATTAATTTAATTTCTTTTTTGTGGTGTGGTACAGGGTATTTAAGAGTTGAGCCTGCTCGACTTTAGCATTCCTTTCTTGTTTGTCTCTAGCTCTTATAGTCTCTGAGATCCAGGTGTTCATACGGACGGACAGTCAGACAGACTGGGCTAAATATATAAGGAATATAAAAATATCAAGAATATAAATACTGTTACATTTTCAACTCCCGCAAACCTAATATACAAGGTGCGATCCAAAGTCAACAGGACTTTTTGAATCTGGCGCCCCCTGGCGCTATCTATATGTCGACTGGTGCGTTAGAATCTGCTATTTTTATCGATTGTCCAGTGAGAATTTCATGACATTTCATCGATTGGAAGTGAAGCAAAAATGAGCTTCGAACAAAGAGCCAACATTAAATTTTGTTTTAAAATTGGTAAAACTTTTACCGAAACGTTTCAATTGATAGAACAAGTTTATGGCGATGATTGCCTATCCCGTAGCAGAGTGCACGAGTGGTATCACCGTTTTAAAAGTGGTCGTGAGGTCATAAATGACGATCAACATGTGGGCCAATCAAAATTCGTGATCACCGTTAATTCCATCGAAACTGTGCGTGAATTCATCAAAAATCTGCCGAAATCATCATTGAAATTGATGGAAATGGAATTGAACATCTCCAAAACATCGATTTATCGCATTTTGACCGAACATTTGGGCTTACGAAAGGTGTGTGCACGGTTTGTTCCGCACAAAATGACTGAGGAGCAAAAATTGCTCAGACGATCGACGCTTGAGACCGATTATACCGATTTTACTTCGTGATTCAATATAGCCTAACAACGACAAATGAATTAGTTAATTATCAAACAATTACCCACCGTCTTCTGGCACTTGCGCTGCAATACACTGCCAAAATCGTGCGACAGCCCATTGCGCCCGACCATAAACTGTGGCACCAGCACATTCTTCAGCTCTGGAGTTCCCGCAATGTAGTTCAGTAACATGCCATAGATACATTTGGCCGAATACCGTCGCTCCACAAACACTAGACAGCAAATGTCCTTTGCCTGCTTGCCGGCAAATGTCTGCTTCAAATAGTTCAAGAATGTTTGCACTTTGCGTGTGGAAAAATTGAGAATGATGTCCTCTCTATTTTCCAGTCCATCTGATTCGTTCTCGTCGAGCCAGTCAAGCATTTTGCTCACTAGCAGATGGCGAATGTGGTCACACAGTGTTATAGCCGCACGATACATATTGCGCAAGGTTAGGGTCTCCGCCTGTCTCCTTTTTATTTCAAACTCTACAATCACTGCCATTATGGCAATTGATGCTGTGTAAATGCCGAAATCATTCAGTTGGTATAGAAAATCGTTAAGGATCGTTTTAACGTAGGTCTTTTTGTTCGGCTCGCGGACCTTCTGCAGTCCCTTAGACATGCGCACTGGCTGCGTGCCAATGTCCAAAACTTCTAATGTCTTGTAAAATTGGTCGATTCGTGCTTTAATTTTGTTGATGACATCAAAAGAGTATGTGTCCAAAGGATAAGAGGCGACTAGTTCGACCGGCTTGGTTGAGTGCCTAACAGAGCATTCAAATATATGTATTAATATAGTATATATTAACGTAAAGTTTTTTCTTCAAGTTATCATTTACATACAACATTACGTTCTCGATTTCATGCATGTCCGATACGGTTATTATGTTGCCACGGTAGGTTGTTTCCAATTCCTTGAGTTTTTTGGCTACATTTTTGATTTCATTGCCCTTGATTAACACACCAGTTAAGCCAACGACGCGGGGAAGTTCATCATTGGGATTGGCACATTGAAACAGGCGCATAAACTCATGGTAGGGATGTTGGCCAGTGCCATGATGACACTCGTCGAAGATGACAATACTGATGGATCCTAGTCCCAGGCGCTTCTGTAATACGAGATCTAGCATAACCTGGGCCGTGCCCACCAGTACCTATAAACGCATGACAGATTTGTTGTTTTTTTTTTTTACACAAAAAGCAATTTATAATTTGTACTTGGTTTTCTTTTATTTCCTCGTCCCATTTTTTTGGTTCCCAATAGTCTACATCTCTTTCGCCCACATAGAATCCGACTTTTAAGCTCGTAAGTTTTTTAATACAAATAGCTTGCTGGCGAGCTAATTCCACAGTATTGCACATAAATACCGCTCGCTTCCCTCCACCATCGACAGGCCTGCGTAATGTAAACAAAATATATACATACATATATATTTAATGCGAGAACATTCAATAAATCTAGAAAGGAATGCTAAAGTGGAGCGAGATCAATTTTTACGTACGTCCGACAACAAATTTTAAAAAATTAAATTAAAACAAGATAGAACGCTACAGCAAGCCCGACAGTAAAATACGCTGTACTCTCCCAACTTAAAAAAAATATTTAAAAAAGTTAATTAATTAATTAAATAAAAATATAAAATATTCAACACATACATATAATAAATTTATATCAGAATCGTGTATCTGCGTGTTTATATGCGTGTATGTATGTTGAACCAAAGCAGCAACAACAACAGCTACGGTTAGAGCTGCAGACAGAGCATGCGACTTTATTTATGGCTATAACTTTCTTCATAATTGACCTATAATGATGAAACTTGGTATATGGATATATAATAACTATGTATATATACATATAACTACTGGGTTTACAGGAGTTATAGAAAATCTTGAATAGGGGGGAGTAGGGGGGTGCAATGAAATGAACAAACTAATATACCCTTTGGGAAAAAGGTATAAAATATTCAATACATACATACATAAATTACACACGATGTCATACGAAGCGGACAATTGTCCCCGTCTCGCCAACATCGGACTGGTAAATGGACCGGTCCCTTTTATAACGAGTGGACAGCTCCATGGACCGGTCCGTGACTAACCCTCTGACAGACAGAAAAATCAATACACAAATAAAATTTAATTCATTATAATTCTCTTAATTGGATACATGTTAACTATACTCTGTACATGAAATGTACAAGAGTATATTAGGTTTGCGCGAGCTGAAAAATGTAACAGGCAGAAGGAGGCGTGGCAGACCCCACAAAGTATATATATTCTCGATCAGCATGACAAGACGAGCCGATTTAGCCCTGTCTGTCTGTCTGTCCGTCCGTCCGTCCGTATGATCACCTAGATCTCAGAAACTATAAGAGCTAGAGACACCAAATTTTGCACAAAGATGCGTTATGTGTGTATTCTATACGAGTTTGTTTTCTTTTTTTGCATTTGAAACGTCCAAAATGTACGCTTCCGACTAAAATGTCATGTCAGTATCCGTTAACACGAGGCTTGCTTCAAACCAAGAGAGGCTTTAGTACGAATTTCTCGAAAAACAAAACGAATGTTATAGAAAAATTGTCCGTCTAAGATGGGTGTCCCTTAAGGGAATTTTCACTGTATATTCTTGATCAGCATGACAAGCCGAGTCGATCTATGTCTGTCTGTTCGTCCATCCGTAGGATCACCTAGATCTCAGAGACTATATGAGATAGAGACACCAAATTTTGCACAAGACCCGTCATACTTATGTATGGGTACGCTACACGATATTGTTTTATCTTTTTATTTTCCCCCTATGGTTGATTTTCGGAAAAGCCGTCCGTATAACCACTAATATATCGGAGGCTATAAGAGCTTGGGACACAAAATTTTGAGTCCAAGATGCCTTATATGAAAACACGGTTATTTCAGATAGAAACTGAAAGTATTTTATATGTGGTGACTTATGCTCACTTGTATTCATGGAATACCAAGGGTACCATCAATAACAATGCTGCATTACAAAATGCTTTTAGGCCTTGTTTCAGTCATTTAAAGATAGGCTCTGCAACAACTTTTCTTTTAATATGCAAACCAGCGTTAATTAAAATAATCATGCTCAATATCAAATGTATTGTTGAATGAGAAAATGTAAATAGTCAAGTGAATTCAGTTCCCTGTTTGAAACCAGACACATATAGATAAATGCGTCAACTGATCATATATGAACATGGGCAAGCAAATCATAAATATTAGTACACGCACAATTGAGTTCAAGAAAAGAGAGTCGCTGAAACGGAAGACAGACCATAAATATTGGAAGTAGAGCTGCAAAATGGATTGATGCAGAATCGATTTAATCGATGTTTAGGATTTTTGCTACGCATCGATTTTATTTATTTATGATTAGGTTGGTGTGTTGGTGGTTTGGAGAAGAGGAGGGAGTCGAAGAAATTGACAAAGTTTTGAAATCAGTTAAGAATTTAAATAAATGGATAAAATGCCTGATTTAGTTGAAATGTGAGCGGCACGCTGAGAACTGCAAAACTGCATACATATCTATATATACATATGCAAGGGCGTACATATACATATGGCAAAAGCTGGCTACGCTCTTGTACATATACATATTCAGCTATTCATAAACAGCTATGAGTTGGACCCCCACCGTCAAGTGTATTCCATTTAAAGATGTTTAGCTTCAGCTCACACTTGAATTGATCAGACGTGCCGATTCGACACAAATCTCAACAACGACACAATTATAAGAATTTTTTAAACGTTACGTAGAGTTCTATAAACAATGTAGTACAATACTATTTATACTTTTTCTCTATTTTTTCGTCTATTCACGTTTTCTCCAATTCCCCCCTCTCCCATACAATTTGCGATTTTCCGTAATTCCCGATAAGCTCAAATTTGACAAATACCTCCAATTAGTGACTATGTGTCTTTATACTAAGTTTCATCATGATAGGCCGATTTACCAGGGAATTATAGCCATACATTTCATATTTGCCCAAGCGCTGCCCGCAGCTGTGTTGTTGCTGCCTTGGTTTAACATTGTACTGCATACTGCATATGTGTTCGAATACCAAGGGATGTAAAATTGATCAAAATTTTGTTTTTATAGCCTGTACCCAAAGGGTATTACCACGTGATGTAAATGTATGCTGTTAAAACTGAACATAAACATGTCACCTAGTTTAATTAAATTAATTAATTCAATTTTTTTAATAATTACATTTTTTTAAATTATTATTTCTTTTTAATTTTCCTTTTTTGTGGAGAGTACAGGCTATTTTACTGTGGGCTTGATCGACTGTAGCGTTCTCTCTTGTTTTTTATTATTTTTTTAAATTTCTATAATTATTCTACAAGTACACATACATACATACATATGTATATGTGTGTACAGAGTATTTCAAAGTCGGAACACCCGACTCTTCTCAACTTGTTTCAGAACAAATTTTCTCTTACTTATCCATGTCCTTTGAAAACCGTTTTAGCGCCAGGATCGCCACGTATGTTTTTCCCGTGCCTGTAGGCAAGTATATAATGCCGTTTCGTTTAGTGACATAGTCTACCAGACGCAACTGATAATTTCTTGCCTGTTTTTAGAATATACATATTTGCAAAAATTAAATGTTGTATAAATTTATTATTTTTTCAGCATAAATACCTCCATTTTATCTCCAACAAAATTTTCTTTTATGAAAGACGAGCTGAGTGCGACGAAGCGATTGGCTTACTGCGCCCCGTTTGCTTACACTTGAGAAATTTAATCTGAAACACATACATGCAATTTCACAAATGAATACATATGTACATATGTGTGCATACAGCTACTTCCTTTATGCTTACGTGGCTTTTTTGTAGTCGTCAAACACAAGACGACAGTTGCCTTTGCCTACCGCAGTTGAACGTTTTTGTTTTCGGGGAAAGTACCAATATATGTACGAGTATATACATACAGAGGTGGGCTTGCTTTTATTGAAGAAGGGTATGCACAGGTGAGCGAATTTGGTTTTGCCTTTAATATTGTCTCTATAGTTGACACCCATAAAATAAATGTTTATAATATTCGATTCAGAAATTTATTTCAACGGCCAAAATTTTAACCAACAATATTACTTTATACCATGACACTCAATGAGCTACCGGCGATGAAATGAAATGCACTGAATGTAAAATTAGCTGGTTCCTTTGTTTTAAGTCAACTTTAAGTATTGTAAAGCTGGAAACATATCTACATGTCCAACTATCGACATTTTGAAAATCATCGAAATCAACGTATCGAAAGAGATTGAATAATAGTAACAATAAAGCGACAAAGAGAAATATACAAGAATCGATAGTTTAAGTTCATGCTAAGGTATCGAAGACCCAAGTATATATAAATTGAAATTGCATTTCGGGAAGAAGAAGCACAATTAGTCATATATAAAGAAATAAATAATTTGTTTTGTCGATTAAAGCAAAATTCACCTTTATGGTGCAAATTATCTACAAAATAAAAGAATAACAAGAGAGATTGGCTAAGAAGTACAAATTTGAAGCAAGTCTATTAGTAGGCGCTGAAAAATCCATAACAATGGTTGGAATTATTGACGAGGCGCAGCTGTTCTATCCAATAGGTACACGGATCAAAATTGGCAATAATTATGGTACCGTCAAATATGTGGGAGAGGTAATTCTTAATGCTTTTTGGTTCAAATCACATTCTAATTTAATTTCGCTTTTGTCTTAGGTATGCGGCCATCTGGGTACTTGGTTGGGCATCGAGTGGGATGATGGCATCCGCGGTAAGCACAATGGTATTGTGGATGGAAAACGTTACTTCCAAACGCAGCATCCCACGGCGGGCAGCTTCATAAGGCCGGGCAAACTTGGGCCGTGCGCTACACTGGAGGATACTGCGCGTGAACGCTATTTGAACTACAACTCCAACAACTTGGATGCAGCGCTAATGCGCGAGGCGCAAGCCAGCATACAGGCATCGTTGTTTGAAGTTGTTGGTATGGACAAGATTGCGCGCAAGCAGAGCAAGTTCGAACAATTGTCAGAGGTGAGCGTCGACGACACGCCTGTGAATGCATCGGGGTACCTGAAAGATTTCACGCAACTGACGACGCTGAATGTAAGCCACACGTTGATTTGGAACTGGGAAATTGTAGCCACCATCACCAAACAGCTGCCCACGCTGAGAAATTTGAATTTGAGGTAAGAAATTAGAATATTGGTAATGATGTACTTTATTGTATGTTATTTTTTGCAGCGCCAATCGCTTGGTCTTGCCCACGGAGAAGCAAATTACTGAACTGGAGTCAGCCTTTCGGAATTTGAAGCATATCAATTTGCGGGACTGTGGCTACACCGACTGGCAAACTGTCATGCAAACGGCCTTGCTGTGGCCAGACATTCATTCGCTAAGCCTGCAGGAAAACGCGTTAAGTCAGCTGGTTGAAGTGGATTGCAATCGAATCTTTAGACAACTGCGCGAATTGGACTTGCATCGTACAAAAGTAATGGACTTTGATCAGGTGTGCAAGCTGGGCAACATCAAGACATTGCGTTCGTTGAATCTCATGGAGAACGGTATTGAGGAGCTAAAACTTCCCGATTGTGAGCCACATGATAAGCTTGGCATATTTGTATCGTTGGAGCAACTAAATCTGTTAAACAATCCTATTTGGAATGAAGTGAGTAGAGGTGTATTTGAATCCAAAATATTTAACCGCAAAATTACAATATAGGCGGCTGCATTCAATGAACTAGACAAATTGCCTCAATTACGGCGCCTCAGCAAGACTCCACATTTAAAATCGAATTTTGCTGAAATGTTCTCAAAGGCTGTAGCCAGCATTTCTAGCTTACAAAATATCAACAGGGCAAAAGTGTCAGATGAGGAGCGACGAGGTGCGGAGTACGACATTTGGAAACAGTATGCCCTAGATTGGCTACAGGCGCAGCAGCTTGGGTCAGATGCGTTGCGGGAGTTTTACAAAAAACATCGCACATATTCGTTGCTTGTGAAAAGTATGTACAATTTATTAATAGATCTATAACTTGCTTCATCCTTTTTTTTCATAGAGTATGGGTCTCCAGCCGATTTTGTGCCTCGCACCCAAGCCAAACAGTCCAATCTCATCAAAATTCGCATTAAATATAAAAAAACTGGTGAAATATGGGAAAAAAAAGTACCGCGAATGATTACTGTACAAACCTTGCAAGGATTAGTTATAAAACACTTTCACATGGCGCAAAGGAAAGCCCAACTGTGTTATTTAAATGGTAAAAATCCCGACTTGGTAGTGCCTTTGGACAATAATGCTAAAACTTTGGATTTTTATTCGCTACAAGAGCAAGACACAGTTTTAGTGGAATAATCCAGCGAACACAGTATTTTAAAATGTACCGCATTGGTCGCATTTTGCGTTTTTTAATTCTAGTATTTTAGGCTCAATATTAACAAAATTCGGAAAAGTGCAAGCTACATTATGTTTTGGCAACTGCTACGGTGATTTCATTAAAATTAAAATCGTTGTTAGCACTTACATAAATGCTGACATTCACATATTAATACATATTTTTATTAATATTGTTTTGTTTTACAAACTTAATTGAAACATTTTCAAACTTATATCTTGTTGAATAAAAACAGGCTAGCGCGGTGTTGGCAACACGCAGTGTTAAGCGCTAGGGAGATAATATTACCGACAGGTGGCGTTTTCTTTTTCGAGCGGTCACAGCTGAGCACCTTGCGCTTACGCAACACTGGAATTTTAGCCATGATGCGTTGTAGTTTTGTTGCAAGAGCCTTAGAACAATATAATAAACAATACAAGTTTTTTCTGATAAGCACACGCAGTGTGAGCGCAGCTACTCAGACCAATGGCACCACACAAGCAGGAAAGTCGGTTCCGACACTTGCCGATTCCATCCCGGATTCGGGCGCTGAAAATAAGCAACGGGCGCTTCACGTAGCCGTTATTGGTGTACCAAATGTGGGAAAGAGCACGTTCATCAATAATATTATCAACCATAGGGTAAATTTACAAACCACACCTTCATATCCTTGTTTATATAAACTTGAATAAATTGTTGTCAAGGTTTGTCCAACATCTGCAAAAGTGCACACTACCCGTCAATCGAACACTGCCATATTGACTACAGGACAAACGCAATTAGTGTTTTACGACACGCCCGGTCTAGTAACACAGCGAGAAATACGTAAACACCACCTCGAGCAGAGTTTTAAAAGCGCGTACAGACATGCCATACAGCATGCCGACATCATAGCTGTAGTGCATGATGCGTCAAATAGTTGGACGCGTAAGGAGCTTCATCCCACTGTTATCGATACATTGAAAGCCTATGCCTACCGGCCAAGTCTTCTGATTCTCAACAAAATTGATACTCTGAAGTCGAAGCGTGTGCTGTTGGATCTAATCAAGACCCTAACGAACGACACATTGGCCGGGGTACAACGTGGAAAAAGTGGATCTTGCGTACCGAAATCTGACAGCGATGAACTTGAGAAAGGCACGCCACTTAGCAAACGCGAAACCAGTTGGAGTCACTTTGACAATGTGTTTTTAGTGTCTGCACTCACAGGAAATGGTTTGCACGATCTACAGGACTACTTGATCGATAATGCCAAGGCCAGAAATTGGCGCTTTGAGGGTGGTATCCATACTACAAACTGCCCACAGGATCTTATTGTTGAGAGCGTAATGGCGCGTTTACTGGACTATTTGCCTCAGGAAATACCGTACAAATTGAAGTGTCAGTTAGAGTATTATGGGGAGGAGAAAAGTATAGAAGGCTAATTTTTCAAATATGTATACTTTTCTTATGCCTTTTATTCTTTCAGGTGTAATCTATACATCCGTGCAGGTGCAATGCCCCACTGCGCGAATTGAGCGTCTAATCTGCGGAGAGGCTAATGGCAGGCTACGACAAATTACCGAGCGTGTTACCTCAGACTTGGTAGAAATGTTTGGTCAAGCAGTTTCGCTAACAATTTCAACCGTTTCTGGTGGTAAAAAGGATTTGTCAGATTGATAAGTTGATGTTACAAGTGTCGATATAAATTGTTTAGTCTCAATATAAAACCATCTTTACTTTCAACATCTCCACTCATAACAATTTTAAATGCGCCACTAGTTTATCCAATTCGACATCCGAAGCGGGTCCTAAGCCCAATACTGTTGCTGTGCCAGGTTCTAGCTGCGTACGTCCAGCATCTCTTACTAATGCAGTCACTAGGTTAGCATCTTGGGCTTGTATTTGTAGTCCGCTGAGCTGTTCGTAAGTGTCAACACGCAGCACAATCTTCGGCTGACCTATGCGTCCCCAATGTTGCAGCAGTGCCGACTGCTCAGCTGTGCCGTGAGCTGCGTTTTCATAGCACATGATAGCCGCATGTGCGCACTGTGCCGCAGTTTTTCCCTTGCCCATCTTCAGATCGCTGCGCACTATTAACGCTAGTTTGGCTGGCTTACCAAGGCTGGTGCTTATTAATTTTTTTAGTGTTTTACTTAACATGGGCATACTTTTGCCTCTGTTGTTCCACATACTTTTGCATGCAGGTTTTAAACTCCTTTACCTGCAAAGTTAACTTAAATATGGATATTCCACTTTTCATATTATGTCGTTGCTAACCTTCTCCTGACACATTCGCCAGTCGTTTGTTTCTGCAATGCACTCTTGCACTTTGTAGTGTAGTTCAATGCAACCTGTTTTCTTTAGCATTAATTCCACAGGATCTTGTTCCACAACAGTGGACATATTAGTTGTTATACATATGTTTCAAATACAAGTGTTACGTCTGCCTAAGAGAGATGAGTGATACTAATGTATTTGTTCCTATATCACGGTAGCTGTCCATGTCACATCGTTTTGAATTGAAATGTCACTGCCGATATTTTCACCGTGACACAAATTCTGAATAGAGCTGTGACTTTTTGATAGCACAATCGATATTATCGATTTCATTCTTCAAATCATCGATTGCTTTATGGCGCTGAGTCGTTCACGAAGAATTCACTTTTTAGACCAACGCTCAAGCTTGAGAATATTATGTGTAGTAGTTTTACCAACTGCACCATGAGATCCCACGAAACACAGACTAAACACATATACATAGTTAGATGCGGAAAAGAGACGATTACCAACCATAAAAGTCTGCTGGCCAGCATTTGAAACTCCAGGTGGATGCTGTTTACGACTGTTATAATTTTATATTCTGATTTTAAATTTTAGTGTAGTGTTACAGGGCTAAAGGCTTTTTATACCCTGTACCCAAAGGGTACAAGGGTATATTAGTTTTGTGCGAGTGCACATGGAACACACAGAAGGAGGCTTGGTAGACCCCACAAAGTATATATATTCTTGATCAGCATGACAAGCCGAGTCGATATAGCGATGTCCGTCTGTCCGTCTGTCCGTCTGACCGTCTGTCCGTCTGTCTGTCCGTCTGTCTGTCTGTATGAACGCAAGGATCTCCGAAAGTATAAGAGCTAGAATAACCAAACTTGGTATACAGATTCTCCTGAAACCGAGAAAGGACGAGTTTGTTCATTTTTTCTGATCCACCCCCCCACTCCGCCCCTATTACCGATTTTCTATAACTCCCGTAATTCTTGGAATTTTGAACTAAAATTTGGTAGCCACATTAGGTTAGTAATTATATATCCGTATACCAAGTTTCATTATGATAGAATGATCGGAAAGAAAGTTATAGCCATATAACCAGGCCCAATGCACACATACATACATATGTACAAGTACACAAACACGCATAAGGCACGATTCTGATGTAAATGTAAATGTATGTATGCATGCATGGAATATTTTATATTTAATTAGTTAATATTTAGTTAATTAATTAAATTAATTTAGTTAATGAATTAAATTAAATTAATTAATTAATTTAATTACTTTTTTGTGGGGTGGTACAGGGTATTTAAGAGTTGAGCCTGCTCGACTTTAGCATTCCTTTCTTGTTTTAATTCAATTTGATCTAACTACATACAGAGGCTCACAGCTTTTTCGACCCAGTTCGAAGTCAAAATTTTAAATGAGTATAACTTTTAAACGAAAAGAGATATCAACAAAAATGGAAAAATGAAACGCAGAATCGAGAATTAATATTAAAATATACATGAGTGCGATTACAATACAGCTGAAATGTCTGCCAGCTAAGATGTTCAACGGATTACTAATTTGATTAAAGGGCTGTTGTCATGGTATCATTAGCTGAGGCGGCCATTTTTAGTTTGCTGTCACAAGCAGACAACGCCTTATTTTTTTACCTTTTCAAATTCTTTTATGGTATTCCTTTTACTTTCCCGCAACTGTTTCTTGGCCAACAAAAGGAATTTATTTTATTTAAAGACAGTTTGTGTTAGTCCGTTGCTTGATTAATCGCTGGCAGAACAACAGAAAGGTTTTATTTATTACTCTGTGCACGTACTTTTTTTCTCTGACCAGCACACCTTCTACAATGTTCGTAGCCTGCATTTAAGGACTGTTAATTACATAAAGGCACAAAAGGTTTTTTCTGACTCCTTTATTTATTTATTTTTTACACTCTACATGAAATTATTTGTGTGCGTTTTATTACGATAAGCCGATTTCCAAGGAAGTTATTGGTATATACATATGTACGTAATATAATGTGTTGGCAATTTCAGGCAATTTCTATAAATATTCTTCGCACATGTACAGAGTAATTCTATGTTGAGACACCTGACTTTAGCTTCTCCACTTGTTTTTCTCTCAACTTTAAATATGTATGTATGTATATCAATATTCTATATGAATTATGTCCTTTATAGACTTTTGAGAGTATTTCCATAAAAAACATCTTACCCATGTTAAATCAAATCAAATGATTATAGTACGTACTACGTACTTGAGGATTTGCATAACTTCTTTGCAGCTGTTTAAAAGTTTTCTCAAGTGCCTGTTGGTACATTAGGATTGTTTTCTTTTAATTGTTGACATGGGCTAAAATGTCCACCCCAGCATTAGTTCAGAGTTTCTATGCATAATTCATGAGGGAATTGTGGGTGGCTACGAAATATGCACACATGCGGCGGCCGAATTGCGTAGCGTTTTTAAGATTAAAGAAGGTGCTGGGTTTGTTTACACGACTGACTCGCTTGTCAGGTGCCATAAAGACTGCCGCCCCATCCCCACTCCAACCCTTTCCAGGCATGGATTTTGTTTACAGTTTTAATTTTATGCAAATTTTAATGTCGAAAGGCAACTATTTCTCGTTCTCGCACTTCCGCTTTGTCACGCTTGGCAAATTGCCACAAAATTGTTTAGAAACTTGTAGCTTTAGGTTGGCAAAGTTCTTAATTGTTAGTTGGTAAGAAGTTTGTTTTTTAAGCTGTAATTGAAACTTCTGATTGACAATTAGCGAACCAGGCTGCAGTATTTTTAAATTGATCAGATTTCGCTTGACAACCAGACGTAAAGAATAGTATTTAAAGCGGATTCATTTGACAGTTGCTCCCAAGTTTGGCTGTCTGTTTATTTTGCGTGTCGACTTTGCCTTGTCGACGAGACAAGGCTATTGGATTTCGGATTTGTTTTGTTTGCGCGGTCGTCCGTTGTGCTCTTCTTTGTATTCCTATATGCTTATTCTGCTAATTCTATGCTGACGAAAGTATGGCAATGTCAAAGCCGAAGTCTCGAAGCAAACATTGTGTTTTTTTCTTTTAGGAAAGACTTAATAGATTTTTTGTACGCTTTCTATCGGTATAAAGTTTGCACTGAGGTTCCGTATTATGAGTTTACAAATTATTCTTTAATAGTCGATAGTGGGATAAGTGTGAAAGTTATTATTTTAAATTATACTGTTACGACTACGCTTTTCCTCTTGGGCAACGCCGGCTGGCTCATCGGAATTCTCCTTGGGTGTGTGGTTCCAACCCTATGCCCGCGTGAGTCGTACAATAACCGATAACACGGTTCCTCCATCGATAAACAAAATGCCATCACTACAATAAATTCGACGCGCAATATACAAAACCGAATTCAAAACGTAAACAAACCAAAAAAACTAACATAAACTAAAAGAAACGTACTGCGACAAGAAAACAAATAAACGGATAACTCCCTCAAGCCATCCGTACGAATACGGGTGACTGTAAAAGGAGATAATATACGTGCGGACGGACAGGGATTGGAGGCATCGGACAACTGTATGGGATTTAGCTGTTGTTATCCCAGGCGTACCCTCCCTGCCTGTATCCAAAGGCAAAATGTTTCTTGGATACCCTTATTTGGACCGTGCTTGGGCTATTCCATGGCACAGGTGAGTCTCCCGCCCCTACTGATGCTGCTTTAATGCATCATCACCAACGGTGCGAACATTAAAATTAACAATTAATTTTCAGTTTATGTGGCTACAAACATACATATATTTCAGTGTGATTGAGTGTGAGTGAAAACAATGTAAATATGGAACAATAATAATTTATATAAAAACAAAATAAAGAAGGCTTGCCAACGGCCAATGCGGTTCTTTATGTGCGCCAACATGCAAGTATGTTTATGGCAAATAAATATGTATATAGATATATGTGTATGTGTATGAGAAAAATATGCGCGGTACAAAAATTTATAGAAAAATGTCTAACCAAATCCTAACGAGAGCTCTCGACGGTCATGGGCGCAATAGAAATATAAGAATACATATAAAACACTGCGCGCTACTGCAATTGGCAATCTTCATACAATATAAGTGTGTATAAGAGTGTGAACTTTTTTTTTTTTGAATTAAATAGAGCGCCAAGCTCTGTTTAGGTGCCACTTTCTGCCTTGTTTTGGTTTTTATTATATCTGTATATATTCTTTCTTTTGTATTATCTTCCTTTTTTTTCTTTTGCAGAAACTTCAATGGGGCGGCGTGTGGGACCCTGCAGGCGCAGCCCATACAAACGACACGACGTAAGGCGCGCGGGATCTCTGCCTGATGTCGCTGCTCAACCGCGAACAATAGGCACGGCGCGTGGCCAAGGAACGGACTCACCGGCTTGTCTATCCTCCGCTGCTGATGGCGCAGACGGACGTGTCTGCTGTTGCGTTGTGGTGGCGCCGCTATTGCTGCTGCCACTTCTTGGGTGGGCGCCTTTGCTCCGGCTGCCACTGTCGTTGCTGCTGCTGCCGTTGAAAACGCTGGTGCTGGATCTGCTGCTGTCGTTGAAGACGCTGGTGCTGGATCTGCTGCTGTCGCTGTTGCTCCTGCTACGATGCAGCTCGTGCTGCTACTTATGACGGCCGCTGCAGCTGCTGTGTATGGTTCCACCGCTGTCCGAAAACTTGGCGATATGCCGGAAAATCTATATGCCAAGGAACAAAAGGCATTTAAGCACTGGTCGGCACATTTAAGTAGATATACAGGTATGTATACATCGGCATTAGTTCTGCCTTGCATCTATATCCTTATGCTCACCTTCGAACGGCTTCTGGTTCTTCCTTTCCTTTTTCAGGTTTCAGCACGGCCTCCAGTTCACCAAACGAAAACACTGCCTCGTGGGTCTGCACCGTCGCCCCAAAAACAGGAATGGCGTGTTGCGGCTTGCCTTTTATAGGCCGGATGTCGTATGCCTGCGGATTTTTACGTCCTTGCGCATCCGTTCATCACGGCCTTGACGTTTCCCCACTTTGAGGTGCCATCGGGACACAACCCTGCGCCTGCGTGGCTGCAGTTGCCACCATGGTGCCTCGCTCGGTACCGCTAGATGGCGCTGCAGTACCTTTGTAAATTCTTGGCGCCTTCCGTAGCGCTGCCACCTTTTATTCTTCGTGACCAGCCCGATGCAACACCACCGCAAATATCCAAGTGGGCGGACGCTCGTGCCCCGAAGTGATGTTTGCGCGCATCAAACGGCTGGTGTTGTTGGAGTCCTCTGCTTCGAGTCCGGCGTTGCCTCGGATGACTACTACCGCGGCGCCCAACGTAGGCCACACCCACTCTTGATCTTCAGGTGAGTAGCTCTGGCTGCATCCTCCTCCCTATATTCATCCATTCTGCCTTAGGACAGGCGTCACACTCGGATATCCTTTGCGTGGAATACCCCCAGCAAGTTCCCTTGCAAATCTTCCAGCTCGTATGCGTTGGTGCCGATGGATTTCCTTACGCGAGCTTTTAGAAATTTCCGCGCGAATTTCGCATTGAACGCGCGGCTGAAATCACTCAATGCAAAGTTTCGCCGGTATACCTCCTGGCCGGGCGCTAGTCTTAGCCGCCGCGCACGCCGGTTATAGCGAACGCTACTGCGCTCATACGCCGCATGCAATTGTGCCTGGATTTTCTGTTGCAACAGGGATTGCCTGTCTGCTGTACTCAACGCTGCGAATTCGTGCTCGTCTAAGGACCTTAATTTCCTCGCCAATCGGTACTGCGAACCGTGCAACATCATATGTCGGCCGAATAGTGCGAAAAAAGGCGTTACTCCAGTCGCAGAATGCACGCTGTTTCTGATGGCCACTTCAATTTCCGGAAGGTGTAGGTCCCACTCGCGGTGATCCTGCCCCAGATACGCCCGTATCGCGGACAGTATAGTCCGGTTCACCCTTTCGGACGCGTTGCTTTGCGGCGAATACACCGGTGTCCGCAGATGCTTAACACCGTAGCCCTCCATCATGTCTGCAAACTGCTTGGACGTGAATTGCTTACCATTATCGGAGTGTATGACTTCTGGAACGCCGAACGTATGGAACACTTCGTTCACCAAGAAGTCGACGACGCTCCGAGTGGTGGCCTCTCGCATCGCCTTCAGGAACGTGAATTTGGTGAAGTGATCTACCACTATGAATATGAAGGCGTGCCCCTTCCTTGATCGCGGATACTTGCCCAAGAAGTCTATGTATAACTTCTGGAACGGCCTCTCCGTGACGACTTCTGCACCAATTCCCACCTGCATCCCGTAATTGGTGGCTTTCGTCTCTTTGCAGACCACGCATTTTCGGACCACTTCAGCAACGTCTTTGGCCATTCCCGGCCAATAAAACTGCCGCCGCAACCAGGACAACGTCTTCAACACTCCTCCATGCGTTGACGCTTCGGTATGGGCCTTCGATATAAGCATGCCGGTTAGCGCACGCGGAACCCACAGTTTCCACACACTGCCTTCGAGCTGATCTTCTAGCCGATTGAAGGATGTCTTTTTGTAGATCACCCCGTTTTCAATTTTTAAATCAGGTAATTTATCTTTTTGACTTTGAATTTCGCTAATCAGCTCCCGATACTCCTCTGATTCGAATTCTGCGGTTTCTATACCCAACAGGTCTCCTGGGAAGAAATCCAACTCCTCTAAAGTTTCGGCTTCGGTGCTTCTGGACAGCATATCCGCCACGATGTTGTCGGAGCCCTTCCGGTGCGTGATTTCAAAGTCGAAGCCCTGGAGCAGCAACGACCAACGAGCCAATCGCCCGGACAAATCCTTCATGGACATCAGCCATTTCAAACTGGCGTGATCGGTTATGACTGTGAATGGCATCATTTCGATGTATGGCCGGAATTTTTGTATCGCCAATACCGCCGCCAAGCACTCCTTCTCGGTCACCGAGTAGTTCACCTGGTGCTTGTTCATCTTGGCAGAAAAGAACGCAATGGGCCTCTCGTTTCCCTGCAAATCCACCTGGAATAATACGGCTCCGACGCCAATATGGGATGCGTCACATTGTACAAAAAATGGGCGTGAAAAATCCGCGTGTACCAGCACTGGCGCAGATGTGAGCGCCTTCTTCAACGCCTCAAATGCTGCAATCGCTTCGCCACCGAGTGAGAACCTACCTCCCGATCGCTTTTTCAAAGCCTCAGTGAGCGGAGCCGCTAAGGTGGCAAAATCTTTAATAAATCGCCTGTACCACCCGGCGGTTCCTAAGAAAGCTCGAACCTCCTTTACGGACCTTGGCACCTGTATGCGCTGTATCGCCTGCACCCGTTCTGGATCTGTTCGAAGCACGCCGCCGCCCACGATAAATCCCAGGTATTTCAACGTTTTAAAGCAAAACTTCGACTTTTGTAACCCTATCGTCAGGTTTGCCTTCTTGAGGCATTCAGCTACTCTCTTCAGGTACTCCAAGTGCGTATCAAAATCAGCCGCGAAGACTACCAAATCGTCCAGATATACTTTAACGTTGGACCTCAGTTCATTCGGTATGACCTTGTCCATCAGCCGGCACAACCTTTGAGCGGCGTTACACAACCCGAAAGGCATCATGCGGAATTGGTACAACGGTCGCCCTGGTACCGTAAACGCAGTGCACCTTCTACTGGACTCCTCCAACTCCACCTGCCAAAACGCAAATTTCAGGTCCACACTGGAAATATAATATGTCTGATCGATTCCAGATAGGATTCCCTCCACGCATGGTAGCGGATAGGCATCTTTGACTGTCAGTTTGTTCAACTTGCGGGCATCGAGGCAAAAGCGGTTCTTGCCCGGCCGTCGCACTATGGTGGTGCGGTTACTCCACGGACTATCGCTTACCTCGATGACGCCAAGCGCCAGCATGCTGTCCACCTCATCCCACACAATCTTCTGCATAGCGGGTGATAGAGGGTAGTGCCTGTCTTTCACTGGCTCTGCTCCGCTGACCAATTCAATTCGGTGAGTCTCCAAAGTAGTCTTGCCTAATCCCGCTTCTTCGAAGGTTAAAAATTCTTTTTTTACTTGTTCCAATTGCAGCTTTTGTTGTTCATTCAATTTCCACATATCTGGTTCAGGCCTTACTTCATCCTGGTCCGCATAATGCGCCACTCTATCAGCTAGCAATTCATCGAGGACAAGTCTTTTAACGGCTGGCTTTTCTGGAGGAATTAATAGTGGTGCCAAGTTAAACAGCCGCCAAAAGTCGATACCGAAATACGCGTTCTGTTCGAGTGATGGGCATACGTAAAATTCCACTTCTTTGGCCTCTTCTCGATACACCACTGGTAAACGCACTCGTCCAATTACGGCTCTGTCTTCACCGCCTGCTGTTTTAATTATCGAAATGTAATTTCTGGGCACCATGCCAATCTCTTTCAGCAGTTCCAGACTGCCCTTGCCTAGCACGCTTACCGAGGCCCCGGTATCCAGCAAACCGCGTAGCACGTGGCCTCGTACCAGTACTTCGGCAAAAATCCTCGGATCTGCTGCTCCTTCGCGTCGCACTGCCTCGGCTACCAGCTTCTTCGTCTGCCTTCTCACTCGGAATCGTGCTCGGGCCTTTTTAACTTTGGCTGTCACCATCCTCATCCCATCTAACTGATGTTGGGCAAAAATTCTATTACGCGCCTCCAGATATGCCCGCATCTTTTCCTCGTACGGTAAAAATTTCAACTTATTACTATATGGGGTATTTTTCTTATGAAATTCTTCTTTCAGGACCGCTCCGCTGTCATCCTGGTGGGCACCTGTGTCGAGCGCGATTCGCCCACTTGCTCCGCACTCCGACGGCCGTTTCCCGTGCAATCGGGACAGGTTGGACTATAGGTGTCGGGCCTGCCACACCTATAACAGAAGACGCGCCTTTCCGGTGACATGCAGTCGCGGAAACTATGGCCGGCTTGTCTGCAGTTCCAGCAAACTAACGCCTGTTGCGGACGCCTTGCCAAACGCGCCTCTTCAACTACGCCGAAATCCGCCGACTCCTCGCCGTTAGTGTCGTCGACCAACTCCTCCACTGCCGGTGGACGGTTTCCGCCACTAAAACGTGTGCCGCTGCGAGTTGGGAACACGCCTTCCCGCCGCTGGACCATAGCTTCCACCTCTACGCATTCGTCACGTAAGTGGTCTACCGTGTACACGCGCATCGCATACACATAACGAGCTAGTTCTATTTTTAATCCTTTTTTTATATATTTCATCATCTCGTTTTCAGATGGTGCTGTGTGGAGACGCGACGCCAGTTTCCTCATGGCATGGAAGTACTCCTCAACGCTTTCGCTTGCCTTCTGCCGTCTTTCGCGCAATTTACGCATGCGCTCGAATTCATCGGCGGCGCCTTTAAAACGGGACAGCATGCTTCGTTTTAGTTCTGGCCAGCTGTCTGCCCGGTGGTCCCTGACGTACTGCCAGTACCACTCGCGAGCGTGCCCAGTTACTAACAGATGGAAACTGTTTAATACTTCGGACCATGCGCAGCGACACTGCCTCTGAAGGAACTCGACCTGGAAAACGAAGTCTTCAACAGCCATTTTTTCCTTATCGCCGCTGAAAACGATGTCCCACTTTTCGACGCGGCACCATCCGGATCTGCCATTCGCCGCTACATACGGAGGAGGCGGGTCCAGCTGACCACTCCCATCGTAACGCCTGTTGCCTCTTCGACGGGCCGACTGTGCTGCGGGATTTTGCCAATTTCGAGCTGTGTTGCTGCTATTGCCAGCTCCACTGGAGGAATTAGCTGCCGCTGGCCTTGCTACTGGACGCGAAGTTCCTCTTGCTGGTGTTAGAGGTTCAGCCTGGTATTGATGCGGCCGTTTTGGCACCGCACCCCGATTCTGGCTGACTGGCGGTTGCCATGCTCCATTTGCAGCTGAATCGCCGCTATTCGCTCGCGGTTGCAAAACTTCTTTCAACGCGCCCATCAAGTCTTGAAACCCCATTCGGATTTCCTCCTGCAACACTTTGTTGATACCCTCTTTTTGCGATTGGCGGTATGTTTCGTTCGCCTGGGCCACTGCTGCTTCTACCACCGACGCGACTACTGGCTCGGCGTCCCAGTGTACTGCTGGTGCTATGGACGGCCTCGGAGGAGTGTGCATGAGGCCACCGGTGGAAAAACCTACGGCTCCTTCTAGGTGTTCCTCCAGCACTGGATCATCATTTCTGGCCGTTCTCGACCTGGTGTTATACGCACGCGCAGAATCCTTTTCCATCTCAATCCAAAAAAAAATACGCTCTGTTTTTTTATAATATTTATTTATATTTTGGATTATGAATTTGTTCAGCTTTCAAGCAGGCCCCGAAGAAAAAATCGTATTAATTGGATAATTGTATATATGTATTCCAAACAATGAAAATGTTTGCAAACGCCCAAAACAACAAAAACAAATGGGCAAGAAAATATATGTACGCTGAATATGTATGATGGATAAATAAATAAATAAATAGGTACAACAATAAATAGATAAATATGTGAATTGGAATAAATAAATATGAATATAGTAGTAAAAATAAAAAAAACAAATCTTTAAATAAATTCACGTCCAACTTTGCACGGAAACCAAAAAAAAATATATATACGCTCAACCACAAGACAAATGTAACATATGTATATGCACCAAACGTAACCAAACAGACTTA